GCTTTTCTGAGGTCTATGGGGTAGAGTTCCCAAACTTATTTGGCCTACTGCCCACCTTTAAAAAAATTACTCAGCATCCCCCTGGAGTTAGTTTAGGTTAACCCTTATTTTTACTCAACACTCCCCAATTGTACCCAAGGCTACTCCCTCCCCTCCGGATCGTTCCAGCATCCCCCAACAGGAGGTATCACCCACTTTAGGAGCCTATGGCTAAGAGTAATAATAATAGCTACATTTCTATGATGTCTTTCTGTTTATTAGGTGATTTAAATATATTATTTTATTTGGTCCCCCTAAAAATCTTGTGACATAGATTGTCCAAGAATGATTGTTTTCACTCTGCAGATAAGCAGCAGACAGAAAGGATAAAGAGATTTGCCCAGAGTCACTTAGGTCATAAATGAAATTAAGGCCACAAATTCCTTTCACTATTACTAGACTGTGCTGTCCTGAGGATATTTTAAAGGCATCCTTTTAGCACTGTTTGCAAGTTAAAATGTGTCTAGAATATGTTGCACAGTGTAGGAGAAAGTCAGAAAGGTTCACAAAAAGCTAAACAAAGATTGGTAAGGGGTACAACATTGGACCATTAGGACCCTTCCTAGGTCCCTGATACTTAGAAAACACAGTATTAAACTCACTTCTCAAATACTGGACTTTGCTAGGTGCGCCATTTAAAGCTCTCCAAAATCCAATGATTCACTTCTTTTGTATCCTTCCCCTCCACACATAACATTCTAATCAAACTGGCCTCACAGCTGTTGCTTCTCCCTTACATATGATTTCCCATGTCCATTGTCCCTTCTAAGCTTGAAATACATGTTACCCCCTCCTTGTTTATAACTCTAAGAATGCTTAGCCCCCTTCAAGGCTAAATTCAAGTATTATTTCCTATGTGGAGCCTTTTCGGATCCTCTCAGATAATAGCTCCTCATCGAAAGTTATTTCACATACACTTACTTGTATCGATGTTATGAAAAGAAGCAGGGAACAGTTGATAGAAAATGGACCTGAGAGTTAAGAAGACCTGGGTTCAAACCCTATCTCTGACATATACTAGCTCTGTGACTCTGGGCAAGTCACTTAACCTCTAGAATAGCCCCAGGAGGCTCTCTAAAACTAATTAGAGATCTGGTCAAAGAAAAAAACATACATGTTGCAACCTCCAAGTGGATTATAAATTCTATTAGGGCAAGGCCTCTTTTGGTTTTGTCTTTTTAGCTCCAGACCTGAATTTGAACCCAGGTCTTCTTAACTCTGAGATCAACTTTCTATCTATTGTGCCATACTGCTTTTCATAACACATATACAGGTAAATAATTACAAAATAATTTTATGGCACTAACATATGAAGGGATCAGGAAAGTCTTTATATAGGAAAATGATATTTCAGTTTAGTCTTGAAGAAAGCTAAGCATTCTCAGGGGTGGAACTGGGAGTGGGAGTATTATATATTCTAGCACAGTGCCTTCTACATAGTAGGTGTTTAGTAAACGTGTGAATTGAAATGAATGAAAATCCACTTTGAAATGAAAATCGCTATCTACAAAGTCAATGGGGAAGGACAATGAAGAGAGAATGCGTGAGAGAATTATTGGGCAGTTAAGGTAAGTATCTTCTTTCTCTTACGAAAGACCAAATTCCATGTTTATGTTTATGCCTAATATTGTAACTTCAAACTTTTTAGAAAATAAGAATGTATATAAATCATGATTTTTTTTTATTGGACCTGTGACTTCATTGGTATAGAAAACTTCCAATGAAGAAATTCCCTCTACCAACACAGACTGGTACTTGGTGTGATAATTATTTTAGAATTGTTTAGGGAATTGAGAGATTAAATAGTTTGTTTGGGGTAACATGGCCAGCACAATTCAGGACACCTGAATTCAGGTCTCCCTGACCCCAAGATTGCCCATTATTTCATAATGAATGTAAAACAAAATATCTAATTTCTTTATTTAATTATCTCTGTCATGGAGAGCACTAACCTTGATAACACAATATTAGATACCTAGGAAACCTTACTATTGGGGTCATGGGTCAGCAACGCATCTAGATTATCCTCATAATACACAAAAGAAATAACATGTAGTTGTTTATAAGGTAATGAAGAACATGCTACCAGGTTTCAGTTTGATGGCAACATGCAAAAAATAAAGCTAACTACACCTGCCTTTTGCTGGAAGTGTCCCATCCTTTGGTACTGTACAGTTAGCATATTATCAATATCAATATTTTTTCAGTATTTTATCACTAAAACTAGCAATCAAACAGATCAAAGGCTCCAATGTTAAGCAATTAAAAGAAATTAATAATGTCCTTCAATTTTAATAACTATGTCCTCTATTAGCAGGTATCAATCTGCACTGACAGAGGAAGTTCTTCATGAGGAGTTACCAATACCAAATTATATTAATAAAATTGTCTTGTAGTTAATCTAATTGGATGTCTACGGGCAAAGCTTCTATTTTCTATTTATCTAGATGCCCTGATTTTAGATTAAACTAAATTTAAATTTTAAATTTAACATCAGGATGTTCTGACATTCTGAATTATCTATAATTATCTATCTTCACTTCTGGCTTGAACTCACATTCTGGAGTTTTCCACTTCATCACAAGTCATTCTGCCTCAGTCTGTATTCTCCCAACTTCTGCTTTCATGCTCCCCTTTAGGTGTTGTCTCCCCTCTAAAGGAATCTAAGCTTCTTTAGGGTAAGGACTGATTTATTTGTTTCTATCTGTTCCCTAGCACTTAGCACCTAATAAACGTCCTATCTAATTATTAAACTAGTTGGAGCTTATTATATAAACAGAGAAGGGTGGAAAAGGAAGTTTCCCCAAAGTAATTCACTTACCAATTCTACCATTAGTTTTCACTGGTTATAAGTTTGTAACAGTTTCTCAAATGCTATACTCTCCATCAGGCCTATTATTTCTGTATATTTAGCCATGTGAAATAGTTGATTTTCTAAAATATTTTTTTCTAAACCAAAATCCAATTTTTCTGAACACAAACATCAAAAAAAGAATAGCCCTAAAGTAGAACTTTGGCCTTCTAAATATAAGAAGAAAACTGTAACTTCTCTAAGGGTACAAAGAGCTTTTCTTTGACCATCAAAAGTACTGTGGCTACTTTTTACTATCCTACTTCACAGAATTTGGGGGCCTCAGTGGCTATTTGGCTCAACCCATGCTTGAAAGGAAACCCTATTCTAACATACATGACAAGTAGTCATTCAGCCTCTGTTGAAGACCAACACTGTTGAATGAATCCCATTCCACTTTTGGCCATCAAGCTTAAATTAGTCTGTATGCACCTTCCACCAACTGCTCTTAGTTATGCCTTTGGGGCCAAAGATAGGACAGTCTCACCCCTCCTGTGCAGTCTTTCACACATTTGAAGATAACTATCAAGTCCTTCCTGAATCTTTTCTTTGGACTAAACATCCCTAAAACATGGATTCAAGGTTTTTAGCGTTCTGGTTGCCTTTATCTGTACAAGTCTCCAGCTAACCAAGTCTCTCTCAAAATAAACACAAGACTCCAGAAGACTCATCTCAATCATCAGTAATTCTTTTTTCCAGATATAAAACAGGTATTTCATGCAATGCAAAGAATATGATACTGGAAGGCAGAAGCCCTGTGTCTGAATACTCATATCCTACTATACAATCTCAGGCAAAGGTACATCAATGATCTGAGCTCATTTCCTCATCAGTAAAATCAGATGTCTAGATGATTTCTAATGGTCCCTTTCTAACTATAAGTCCGATGAGCCTTTTAAACCAGTTCTTTTGTCTAACGCCACAAATGAAGATTATCAGGTTCTTTGCCTCAAATGCCAGTTTCTGCCAGGAGTCACTTCCTGGTCCCCTCTAGATAACCTCCCATCCACTCTATATGTATCTTGTACACACCTATCTATGTTATCTTGACCAACAGAGCAGGGACTATTTTTGTTCTTTCTTTGTATCTCCATTCCTTAGCATGGTGCCCGGCACAGAGTAAGTACTTAATAAATGCTTATTCTCTAACTGACTGAGCTAGCAGAAGAGATATAATGATGGAAGGGGGCCATCTTAGCATAGCAGAATACATGAGGATCACTTTGTAAATAACCATAAATATGCGTTATTATTATTAAATTATTCTCTAAATGTCTTTCTGAAAAGGCTGTTTTTACAGACAAGAAGGCTGAGCATATATAAAGACTTGTTCCAGGTTGGGCAGAAATTCTGGGACCCGCTTGCAGTAGTTTAAGCAATAAATACCAGGACAGGCTGGGACCAACTGTGCTTTTTACTATCTCAGAAAGTATTCTACAACATTGAGAAGTTAACTGACTTGCCTAGGGTCCTCAAAACAGCATATATTAGAGGTAGGACTCAAAGCTACCTGGTCCCAAACTTGGCTCTTCATATTACCATGCTACTGTGCTTTGAATTAAAGACTTTATCACTGTGCCTCATCCATAGTCTCATTCTGGAACATCTATTGGCCTCTTTCCCCACTGGTGACTTCTTTTATTTTGGGGGGGGTACAAGAAGGATTTCCATTTTGTTGAGAGGCAAAGGCTGACCAACTTTCATTCTCCTTTTGAGTTTTTGGAATTGAATAACAGACCAGCACCAAGTACCTCCTCATCTGCCATTCCGCCCCATCCCCAACCTCTTCCCACTTTCCTTCTGCTTTTGTGTTGTCTTCTTACATTAGATTGTAAGCTCCTTGAGGGCAGGGTCTATCTTTTTGTTCACTTGTATCTGTAAAGCTTAACACAGTGCCTGGTAACACTGCAAATGCTTGAAAAATGCCTCTGCACCACACTTTTATCACCTGATTCTTCTACATGGGGAAAATGGGATTGGGTCTACTGTAAATTCTTAGCTACCTTAACTGTGAAAACTGGAAGATAAATCAAAGCAAAAGAGAACACATGCTGATTTTTGATGAGAAAAGCAGCAACAGGGATATGGCAACAGAAAAACATATACATACTACAGGCAACAGGAGTTGCAGGCCACATTAGCTCCTGCATGCGTGACCTCCGACCTTGTGAATCCACGTATAATCCCATATGGCTGAAGCAAAGCAGGTATTCCTCATTACTGAGTTCCACAGCACAAAGGGCATCAAAAGACTGCTGTGAGAGGAACATAAGCGAGGGATCATTAGGATTTACCAGGTTTAGAGTCTGTCCATCTCCCTGGATGTTCAACAGAGAGAACCCAGAAGGGTAGCCAACACAGAGCCTGTCCTTGAACACTGTCATCCATTGTACATTTCCTGGAGCCATAATTTCATTGAATTTTTTGTGGAAAGGTTTAGTTCTATGAATTTCATAACAAAGAATCAGTCGTTTCACAGCCACAAACAAACAAGTTGAAGAGCTCTTCTTTAGTGTGGCAACTACTATAAGCTGGCAGCCTTTAGTTTCCGGAAGTTTGATGTCAAAATTGCCTTCTGAACCATCAAGACAGGACCATGGATACAGATGAACATGATGGTTCCTGCCACAGATGAGGACGATAATTTTCTCTTTGGGAGCAAGTTCAATCTGGTACACCTTCTTACAATCAGCAGCTCGAACAATCACTGCAAAGAGGGCACAACAAATAAATCTCGGTGAATAAAGGATTATGGAAATTTAAATAATCCTCTGTAAAGAATGGTTATTTTCTGTCAACTTTACAGGTGATACAATGGGATAAGTTCCAATCTTTCTGGGTGGAGAGGATGAGGAAGTAGAAAGAACAATGGATTTGGAGCCCAGGATTTGGGCTCAAATCTTGACTTTGCTATTTTCTATTTCTGTAACTTTGGGCAAATCACTTCCTCTTTTCTAAGCCTTCATTGTAAAATGTAGGAGTAGAAGACGTACTGTTGAGTTTTAAAATATCATATAAAGTTCAGTATATTCACAATTTAATCTCCTACAATGTACAATTCACAAAGTAACATAAAAAATTGAAAATGCAACCTTACATTTATTAGTTTAACATTTGTTAACAAAAAATGGAGTGTATGCTTTTTAAGTATCAATAGTATTCAATAGTTTTATTTGAATTTTACTTAAACTGTCTTCATAAATGCAATAATTGTATATGTTGCCCTTTTATTTTTGCTTTGTTCACTCTACATCATATTTTATCAACTATTCCTGAATCACTGAACACATGGTTTCCATTTTTTTCTGTTATGAAAATTTTGCTACAAACATTTACTACAGAAGGGTCTTTTCTTATTGTTAATAACCTCCTTAATGTATAAATTTAATAATAGGATCACTATGAAGAATTTTGTAATTTTTCTTGCATAATTCCAAACTTTTTCTTTTTTGAAAATTCAATTAAAAAAAAAATCTGGTTTGCATTTTCTCCCTCCCACTTCTCCCTCACTCCCATTAAGAAACCAAGAAGAACTGTACCTGTTACAAACATGTATAGTCAAGCAAAACAAATTTCTACATTGGTCACATTCTCTCCTGGTTCTTTCTCCTAGCCCCAACCCCAAATATGCCTCAGCACTCTGAGTCCATCTCCTCTCTATTAGGAGGTGGCAGCATATTTTATCCTGAGTGCTCTGGAATTGTAGTGGGTTAACTGTGTTGAACACAGTTCCTAAATCTTTCAGTGTTTAGTCTTTATGATATTGTTACTGTATAAATTTTTCTCCCAGTCCTGTTCAGTTCACTTTTCATCAGTTTATACAACTCTTTGTTGGTTTATCTGAAACCACCTCCTTCATAATTTTTTACAGAATAATAGCATTTCACCATATTTATATACCACAATTTATTCAGCTACTAAATAAATGATGGGCATCCCCTCAGCTTCTAATTCCTTGCCACCACAAAAAGAGGTTCTATAACTATTTTTGTACATCTGGGTCCTTTTCATTTTCCTTTGAGGTATAGGACTAGTATTAGTATCACTGGGTAAAAGTGTATGCAAAGTTTAACAGCTATTTGGACATATTTCCAAATTGCTTTCCAAAACGGCTGGACCAAAAAAAAAAAAGGCTGGATCAACTTCACGCTAACGTATATTTTCCCACAGCTCCTTCAACATTTGTCATTTTCTCTGTCTGTCAACACTGCCAGTCTGATGGATATAAGGTGGAACCAAAGAGTAGTTTTAATTTGAATTTCTCTAATTATTAGTGATTTGCAGCATTTTTTTCCACATGGCTATATGAGAGCCTGGTTTCCTCTGCTGAAAAATAACTGTTGTTATAATTTGACCATTTATCAATTGGAAAATGGTGCTTACTTTTATAAATTTGAATCAGTTCCCTATATATCTCAGAAATAAGACTTGCTTATCAAAGAAACTTGCTGCAAAGATTTTTCCCCCTTTACTTTTTTTCTAACTTTAGCTGAAGTAGTTTTTGCCAAATTGTTTTTCAAGAGTTACATCATTCACAATCTTGATGTCAGTGAATTAATATGCCTATTTTTTTGCATCCCTATCAACATGGAATTTTTCTATCATGTACTATCTTGAACAATTTGATGGGTATGAAGTAATACCTCAGTTGATTTAATTTACATTTCTGATCATATGTAATCAAATTATTGTGGGTAATTTCTATTTCTTTCTTTAAAAAAAAATTTGTTCATATCCTTTGGCTACATATCTATCACAGAAAGGCTCTTAAGCCTCAACAGAATTGTGTCAATTTCCTATATATAGGTTTTAGATGTCAGAATTTCATCATAACTGTTAGGTGCAAATTTTTCCCCCTTCTTTCATTCTAGATGCATTTATACTATTTGTGGAAAGCCTTAATGGTCATACAAATAACAATCTACTTTTGCTTTGAGGATATTCTCTACATTGTGGTTAGTTTTACGTTCATTACTTTGTTTTGTTTTGCTAGGCAATGGGGCTAAGTGACTTGCCCAGGGTCACACAGCTGATGTCAAATGTCTGAGGCCACATTTGAACTCAGTTCCTCCTGACTCCAGGGCTGGTGCTCTATCCCCTGTGCCACCTAGCTATCCCCATTCTCTATTCAGTTTTGAGAAATATATAACCTTTCATTTTCCACTAATTTTGGGTGGCGTAACTTTATTTAACTCACTTAGCCACACGGAATTTATTGTGGTATGTGGTGAAAGGCACTAGTTTAAGACTATTTTCTGCTGAACTGCTATTTAGTTTGCCCAGTAGTTCCTACCAACAGAGAGTTCTTCAGGGTTTTGGTTTTATAGAAGACTACATGGCTGTAAGGATTTCTTGCTAAGTACTTATATATGCTTATATAAATCTATCCCACTGATTAAGTTTTCTACTTTTTATTTAGTACCAGATAGGTTTTGTTTTTGTTTTTGTTTTTGGCGGGGGGGGACAGGGAGGGTGAGGCAACTGGGGCTAAGTGACTTGCCCAGAGTCATGCAGCTAGTACGTGTTATGTGTCTCAGGCTGGATTTGAACTCAGGTCCTCCTGACTCCAGGGCTGGTGCTCTACCCACTGAGCCACCGAGCTGCCCCTGTACCAGATAGTTTTGACAAGTAAATCTGAGGTTTGATAATAGCAAACTCATCCTACTATTTCCCTAGATACTCTTGACTTTTTGTTCTACCATATTACTTTACCTAATCCTATTCAGTATCCCTTTGGTAATCTGATTGGCATAGCATTGAATCCTTGGCCTTATTTGGGTTGAGCAATCATAGTCACTATATTGGTCACAGCTTAATCTCTTCACTTATGTAAGGCTTCCTTTATTCTGTAAAAATTAATTTACAGTTGTGTTTATATAAGTCTTGTGTATCTTGTCTTTGTAGTTTAACTCCCAGGTAATTAGTGTAACATTTTTTGCCACTCTGATGAAATAATTTAACTTTACAATTTTTTTATTCTCTACAGTTTCTATATAAATCATAGGATAGTTACTGATAAAGAATTGTCTCCTTTTAATGTTTATACCTTTAATTTTTTTGGTATTATTGCTATAGCTAGCATGTTTACAAATAATAATGGTGACAATGGACATTGTTTCATTCCTGTTCTCATCAGGAAAGCTTTCCATATTTTCCTTTCACAAAAAATAATTCTGGGTTTTAGAAAAATGCTTTCGATAATTAAGGAATAGTTCTTTTTCATTCCTTTATAGTATTTTTAAAAATCTGTATGCAGTATTCCACACCTATAGCTGTCCACCTTTCCAAAGAGGTATCTTATCATATCTCTTTGTGAATCCATGTTTGCTCAGTATAATTTCAAATATCTATTTTCGGTTGTCTGTTGTTATTACTTCCATTTTCATTGTTATATCTTGTTTTTCTGTTTCTTATATATTTCAGTTCATTCTGTATTTCTCCAAATTCTTCATATTTATCATTTCTTACAGCACACATTCCATTACATTAATGAGCCAAAACTTGTTCAGCTATTCCCAAATTCCAATTCACTGCGACTATAAAAAGTGCTGCTATAAATATTTTGGTATATACGGCACCTTTTTTTTTTTTTGGTCACTGACCTCATATCCCTACCAGCAGAATCTTGGGGTCAAAAATTTCAAACTGTCTTCCAGAATGGTTGGACAAATTCATAGCTCCACCAACAACACCTTAATGTATGTGTCTTTACACATCCCTCCAACACTATTTTATCTTTTCTAATTTGTAGGAAAAAAAGGGAAACCTTAGGGTTGTTGTGATCTGCATTTTTCTTATTGGTAGTGACTTAAGAGTACTCTTTCATATGATGAAGAGTTTGCAATCCTTTTGAGCACTGTTTGTTTATATGACATTTTGGGGAATGGCCTTTGGTTTTACATATTTCTCTTTGTGTCTATATATCTTGAATAGCAGACCCTTATCAGAGACAATGATATAAAGATCTTTTCCCAGTTGACTGCCTCCCTTCTTACTGTAGTTGCATTAACTTTATTAATGAAAAACCTTTTAAATTTCATGTAATTAGAATTATATATCTTATCTTTGTAATTGCTAATATGTTTTGTTTGATTAAGAATTCATCTGCTATATATCAAACTACAGGGGGCACAAGGGAGAGCTAGAAAAAATATGACAATTCATTTGAAGAACAAAAATTCAAGAACCTCTATGAAAAAGTTGGAGAAGGAAGGGGATCTGGCTGTACCAGATCTTCAGCCATACCACAAGGCAGTAATTGTCACAACTACTTGGAACTGATTAAAAAAATGAAAAGTTGAAATAGATCAGGCTCATTAAATGGAAGCAAAGAAGCATAGTAACAGTGTTCAACAAACCCAAATACACCAAAGACTGGAAATAAAGGCTTGCCACTTGACAAAAAAATGCAGGTAAAACTAGAAAATCTGAGAGAAATCAGGTTTTGTCCAAGATCTAAATGATTTTGTACATATCAGACCTTTTCCTTTTTTTTTTTTATATCTATGGGACACAGACTTTGAATCACTGGACCAAAGGGCAGGCACAGTTTAGTGATTTTGGGGGAACAATTCCCAGGTTTTTCTGGAAGCACTGGACCAATTCACAGATCCACCAAGACCACAGGTTATAAGATTCTGATACCGAAACTCGGGAACTTAGTGTCCGTATTTGTAAGTCAGTTAATGTTTGGCTGGTATCTTGTGTATTCTATTTATTTGTACTGGGGCCTGTTTCTGACACTTCTGGGGATTTGGAGTGGAGGGCTTCTATAATTTCTTTAAATATGGTATTCAGACTGTTTTTTAAAATATCTATCTTGGAGACCAATAATTTTCAGATTATCATACTCAGTTCTGTTGTTTTAGCTTGTATAGATCTTTCAGTTCTGACATTTAAAAAATTATGTTCTATTGTTTGCTCTTCCATCACTGCATTTTTTCCTTCTGCCCAAGTTGCTCTCTGCTCCTCTACCTTTCAATTCTCATGTCAGCCTTCCTGAATTCTTCCTTTAGCCATCTTATTTCTAACAGAAGAGACGCCATATCTTTATCATCTCACTGTGATGTGAAAGCTCTTAGGAGTGTGCCTATTCTCCGTTCTCAAGGTATAGTTTGTTGCAGTTTTGTTCTTCTCTGCAGAGGTTTCTCCCCTCTTTTACTTCACAATATTTATTAATTTTATTAAGGCTTCTTTGGCCTGGTTTCCTGTGAGGTCTTTCTTGTGAGAGTTTTTTCCCTTCCCCCCTTTCTGGGTGCTTTTAGCACCTTTATCACTGTTGTGAGATAGTTTGGGGGAACTGAGCTTAATCAAATTTAGCCATTTTTTTGGAACACCTGAGAATCTACCAACTTAAATTAAAAAAAACAGACAAGATGATTTCTAGAGTCTCTATGCTAAGAACAACGTACTTGTTTTATATTTTCTTGGTTTTCTCTTATTAGGGTGAAAGGATAGATTGCTATCAGGAGGTGTTCTAATTGGCTCAGAATGAGTTTAAGTTGAAAAGAATCAATCAGCGAACTTCAACTAAGTGAACCTAGTGGGGGCAGATCCTAGAACAGAAGGGGTTTATTCATGCAGTTTCCAACCACTTGCCCAAAGGATGCAAATCTACTTGAGTAAGCTTGTCAATCCTATTTCCAATAACTCCATAATTTAAAAAAATTCATCAGTAGAGTGTGTGTTCTAAGTAAGTAAAGTCATTAGCCACCAGTAGGACAGATCAAACCACAGGGCTTAATCTCTAAAATAATTTAGTGCCCTGGTAGTTCTACGAGTTGGGTCACCATCCACAGTTACTCTAGACAAGAGAATATCCTCATTGGCTTACGCACCAATAGGCTGACAATCTGAGGCTAGCCAATAATCAGCTTGACAAGCTGATGAGAATGAAAGATGGAAGTCCATGCTATCTAACCATACTAATACAGTTATCAGCCCTGAAAAAAAATTCTATATTCTTTCCAGGGTGTGACTATAGATAATCCTGTCATTCCTAGGGAAAAGAGTTCTAATATTTGCATATTAATAACTCTTATGTTAAATAGTAAGGAGAGATAACGTCTTTTAGTTCTACTCCAAAGTACACAACAAGAAATGAAAATTTATTTTGAGAAAGTCTCCAGGAGATTATGGTTTTGAATATGACAGTATCACAGAACAAGCAACTGCATAATTCTGAGAGATGAGGTTTTTGCCTTGGCTTGCTGAGAACCAGGCCTCCATGCCACTTCCCACTCCTTTTCCAGCACCTTTTTTCATGGGCTGTCTCTCTCCATTAGAATGTAAGCTCTTTGAGGGTAGGGGCTGTCTGCTTTGCTTATATTTGTACCACATTTGAAGAACAGTGCTTGGCACAAAGTGCTTAAATGCTCCTCTTATCTATGGAGGCTATTTTAAAATCACCTGTGAATGTGTGCATATGTTTGTATGTGTGCATGTATGTTATGTATGCATACGCATGTACACATGTATAGTTTTCATGCTGGCACATTTTGGGAGGCACATTTCAAGTTGCAGTTAAAAAGAGTATTAGTCCTTGGCTAGCGGGATAACCAGGTAGATTTGATATAATGCACAAGACATGGCGTTAGGATAAACTTCACCTTTTTCCTTTTCTGATTTTACTTGTAATTTACTTTTAAGCAATCAGCTGAATGATGGTATATTTTACACTTAACTAGCTAGACTGGACATACATTAGTATGGTACCCAAATCCAAATCATGATAACTTACCATCACGAGTTAACTCTATTACATAGAGTCCTTCTTCTAAACCAATGGCTATCCTATCCCGATCTGTATAAAAAAGAAGGTAAAAGAGATAAGAGAACAGTTGACCCATAGTCTAGCAACATTTATGGTCGAATTCCTCTAGTCTTCTAACTATAAGTAAATCACAATACATTACAGACCAACGGTCATTTAGAATTTGATCAAACATATCCACTGACAAGAAACCCACTATGTAATGAGTCGATCTGTCTCATATTTGGAAGAGTGTAGAGAATTATTCATGATTTTTTTATACCGAGCTGCAATTTGCCTTCCTGTAACTTTCATACATTTCTATCAGTTCTGCTCTTTGAAGCCAAGAAGAATGAACCTACTCCCTCTTTACATAATAGCTCTATATACTTGAAGACAACTAAGCTGACTTTCACCCCCAAAAATGCTTCTTTTCTAGTCCATATATACCCAGCTCAGTAAACCATCTCTCATACGACAGTGATTCAATCACATCCTCACCGTGGTTTGTCATTTCCTGAGCATGCTGTCAATGTCCCTATTCAAATAAAACACCCATAAATGAACATAAAGTGCCAGATGTGGTCTTACGAGGGCAGAGGACAATGGGCTATCATTTTCCTTGCAGACAAATAATGCACTAGATATTTTGGCATCCTTACTGTTTTCTCATGCTGTGTTTACAGTCCTTTAAAACATCTAAGTCTTTCTCATATAGCCTGCTATACAGCTACAATGCATCTTGTGCATTTACAGGGTTGGGTTTTTTTTGTTAAAGTACAATTGATCCCTACTAAGTTTGAACTTTTTCGAGTCAGTCCATCATGTTAAAACCTCTTAAATCTTTTTGGAATAGTCTGCCATAAATCGTGTTACATATCCTCTCTCATATTACTTATGAACTTGATGCCACCTCAGTTTGATAACTAAAGCACTGATAAAAATTTTGACGAGAACTGCAACACTGGAAGCATCTTTCCAGGGTAACAGCAATTTAATAATCAACTAAATCAACCATTTGGTTAAGTACTATCATCCAGCTACATTTTTCTACTTTGGCTCACAATGATATTTTTGGAGACAAATGTCTAGCTGAAATCTCCAGATACTATGTCTACAGCATTGCCTATTAGTTCAAGTTCCGTTTAAACCCGGGAGAATCATTTCACTAAGTCATTCCCCCATGGCCATCAACTGAGGGGGAATATCATTGTGAAAAAGGGGCCTACTTTCCTCACTACTACCAGCAACAACTGCTAACCAACTACCACCAACAGGCAGATAAGCTCAAGAGCTAGGGGAATGGCAGAACCTCTCAGACCACAGGTCCTGTTTTCAGTCCAGCTCTCAGAGCCATCATCTGGGGAAATAACTCCTGTGTAGAAAGGGTCACCATCCCCACCAACTTGGTAATCAAGGTGCCAGGTAAGCCAGGAAAGGCAAACCACTACCACCACCATGACCACCACCCTCACCAAACTGACGACCATCTCTCCCAATGGAGAGGGAGATTATTCTCCCCTCCCCTCTCCATATCACAGCCTAGTGGAGACAATCCAGGACTCTGAACCTACAAACCTATAAACCCTGGTAACAGCAACGCTTCCAGCACACTGTTGGTAGTTATCATCCTGGAAACAACCCTTGTGGAGATGCAGCCTGACAACCTCTGTAGGTGCTACGCTCACAGCTAATGAAGACCCAGAAAAGAAAGTTTCTTGACACTAAAGTCCTTGGCAGTGTCAAACGATTGTCCATCAGAAACTGACATGATTTTATCAGTAGAAGTGACATTAAGGAAGAAGTATTGCCATCTGTTTTGCTTCTGTACCCTAATGACCATGGGACCTTTCTATTTAACTTACGGCTGAAACCTTCCATATGTGTTGTTTCCCCTATTAGAATGTGAGCTCCTACAGAACAGTAATTATATTTGCATCTAAATAGCGTCTACCATAGTAAAATCGCTTATTTTTTCATTCATTCTTCACTCACCTCTCTGGGATTCTTTCCTCATGTGTAAAATGTGAGAGCTGAGCTAGATTATAATAATGACATTTACATAGCACTTTATATATTTTTCTTATTTAAACCACACGACAATCCTAAAAAGTGGTTATGAGGCAGAACGGTGCAAGTGGAAAAGCAATGGATTTATAAGAAGAGGCTCTAGGTAAAAATTCTAAGTCTGTAAGTTACTATGTGGCCTCTCTGGACTTCAGTTTCTTCATTTCTAAAATGTAAATATCAGACAAGATGTCATCTAAGATCTCTTCAAATCCTGATCTATGTAGGTAGATACAGATAGAGACTAGTAATCTCATTTTACAAATAAGGAAGATGATGTCCAAGGAGGCTACATGACTTGAAATACAGTAATTCACTGTTTTATACATGATGTCACGCTATTCCTTCCAGCTCTAAGTCTAACAATGCATGCATCAACATACATTTGGCACTCAGATATTTACCAATCTAGAAAAGATACGAGAATGGCATTTAAATCAGTCTAGTAAATATACCAGAAGGTATTATAATTATAACCTTAAATGATTTCAGTTTACAAGTATGCAGCTTCCGTATTTGTGGAAGGAATATTTTAAGCATATGAGCACTGTTGAGAACACCAGCTTTTCTAATGATAGGGAGAATGTACTTCTTTAAACTGCAGCTTCCAAGGTACATACCTACTATTGCAGCTGTTAACATGGTTTTAATAAGAGGCAGTGTGCTGTCATAGGCTTCCTGTGGAATATGTACAACTTGATTTTTAAGTTTGTTTTTATGCAGAATAGACTGCAGTCCTTCTAGGATCCCAACCCATTTCCTCTTCTCATTTTCATTCTCTGTTAGAATTAGTAGTGAACTGGTCTTAGCAGGTGTGCCTAAGAGAGAAGCTGTCACCTTAATAATATAAAATAAACAAAACACAAACATAAGACAAAGAAAATAGACAATGTACACATAGCTATATCCCAATAATACAAAACAATTTAGCTATTTAGAGAAATAAATATACTACATATGTTCAAGAACAGAAAATTTAGTTCTTTCCAAAGGTGCTTTCTGAAGAATGCAACAGTCTAATCTTGGGGTTAAAAATTTTTTTCAATTCAGTTTTCTCTCCTCTAATTGCCAAGCAACTATAAGTCACATGCTGAACTTTTAAAGCTACTTGTTCTTCAAGTTTTCTTGCTCAGTTCTTCCATTAAATACTAAATGGGAAACACAGTAATAAAAAGGGTTGTGTGTAGTCCTGTTAGTTTATAACATGTAAATTTCTGGCTAGTTTAGCTCTTGCAAAAACCACAGCTTCCAAAGCATATTTTGGAAATGTTTACTTGGATTACAGTAGTAATTAAAGCAGTGTCTGGAGGGAATAATTTCTCAAATAGAACCACTTAATTTTAATACAAATTACATTGGAAATGCTATGAGGTTTTCCCTGAGTCCTCATTAATGAAGCCTGAAAAACTATTTGCTGTAACTTTTTATTCATGTATGATTGCAATTCTCCCTCTATCATACACACTAGGAGATCTCTGAATAGAGAAATATTATTTTGTCAAAATATTGCTGAAAGGCTTGTTAGTTTCCTGTTCAACACAGCATTTCACTGAGATGCCTCTCAGTGTTAGATTTTTTAAAAAAAGCATGCCATTAAAGAAAAAGGTGAATGTGGAATGTTTGCCTTCATCATTTAATATTTCTGCTCTAACTTAAAGATTATTGTAAACACTGAAAAAAAGAAACTGAAGTCACATATTGTCACATGACATGCCCCCTTACAAATAACACCATAGTATTTCTTTTAGAGTTAAATACACTGCTAAACCAAGTTTTTAAAAAGTAGTATAGTAGAGAAGTAAACAAAAGAGAAAAGAAGTTTTAGGTATACTAAGAAAAGGAGCAGGACCAAAAAAGAAGAAAAAAGAAGAGGGATGTTTCAGATGAAAGGAGCTGGAGAGAATGGCTCACACCAAAAGTGGCAATCCTGTGTGAAGAGAGAATGATGCTGCTGCTAGGTGGCAAGGCTGCTGGAAAATGAGATGGACACCCTGAAGGAATGTGGAGTAAGACAGGAACACATAAAATATTAAATTACTTTTATCCCTATATCATTATTACATATCAGCAATAAAAGGCTTAAATAGCCAAAACATAAATGAAGTAAGTAAGCTATCAAAGTTCTAAATTTGAAGAAAATAATTTCAGATATATGTTGAAATATCTTTTGGATACAGTTCTGGAAAAAAACATTTTACTATTTTTAAGGCTATGAAAGCACAAGCTTTAAAAGACTCTCTTAAAAAACAGAAGAAAAAAGAAAAGCCATACCCTAAATATACAAGGAATGTCTCGGCGGGTAGCATGTATAACATCTGACGCTAAGACACAGCTCACAGAAAACTCTTCATCTCTGGTAAGAAACAAAAAAATAGGACAATAAAACTTGGTAGGGAAAATGGAGAGAAACAGTATTCTAGTACACTTTTATTTTCCTTTACATTTCTAGCTGTAAATGATTTGTTCATTTTATGAATGTTTTCTAAAAAACAAGATGTATTTTTTTTAATTTCCTTTCTTTCCTTCTTTCTTTCTTTCTTTCTGTCTGAACTTATGACTTCATTCCATTACAGAGCTTTTGGTAAGGAAACTCCCTATACAATCAATGCAGACCAGCAAGTACAATCCAATTTATAGTATCAGAACAAGGAATCTCAAATTTTTTGGTTTTGGGACTCACTTTAACTCTTAAAAATTTCTGAGGACCCCCCGCAAGAGTTTTTGTTTATGTGAATTATATCTACTGATATTTACTATATTTGAAATTAAACATCTTAGTGCTATTATGAAAATAGTTTTGATCTTGCAGATACTGTCAAAGTGTCTCAGGATCCCCAAACCATGCTTTGGAAATTGCTGTACTGGAGAGTTGCCTGGGTCACTGAGAGGTTAAGGAGCATGGTCACACAGCCTATTAGAGGGAGGACTTCATTGAACTCAGGCTGTCCTAAGTCCAAGGCAAACTCTTTATACATTAAAACTCTGTAATGTATAATGTAATGTCCTTCTCTGTCCTAGATGATGCAAAACATGTAAAGAAAATAAGACAAAAATTTCTTAAAAAGACTAGTTTCTATCTTAAGGAGAAATGAAGTGTTTATGTATTAAGTATACATGAAAGGTCAGAGAGGGAATTAAAATTGTAGGGGTAGAGGGATGGGGTGCAGGGATAAGGATGGCGATGGGGAGAATTGCTTTTAGCTAGAAAAGAAAGGAGACTGAAGAAGACCTTGTGGAAGAAGTAACAACTGAGCTGGGCCACCAAGGCTGGGGAAGATTTCAATAGGTGGTGGGTGATGTGTAAGGAACATGTTACAGTATACTTTATACTACTTCATAACTATAATACTTACAACATAGTTTAAGGGGCAGCTAGGTGGCACAGCGGATAGAGCTCTGTCCTTGGATTCAGGAGGACCTGAGTTCAAATTCGGCCTTAGACACATGACACTAGCTGTGTGACCGTGGGCAAGTCACTTAACCCCACCTGCCTCACCCCCCAAAAAATCCCCCCCAAAAACATAGGTTAGACTACATTTGGCTGAAATCAGGCCACGATTTCAAAGAAGTGGCCATTGGACCAATTTCCATTAATTTGTGGAATAAATTGCATCTAAAAGAACTATATGGCAAATACTAGGGCTGCTGCTTTGAAAACAGGTAAATTCTTTGCTGTTTACAACAAACTGATTTTAGGAAAAGGGCACATGTCTGAATTTTTCTATCCCACAGTGTCTTTACACATAAGTATGATTAAAATGCTACTACTGGTGAGCAGGGACAAAAATTTCACAACTGGTTCACTGGGTTAAACAATACTCAATATACACAAATTCAAATTTACATCAAGTGCTTACAAAGGCATATATTAAAATTTCCTAATATATCTTATATTGGGGGAAATGGTACCATAATGTGGGAAGCATTTTACCCATTTCACAAAAAGATCTACAAGAACTGAACCAAAGGTGGCTAAACAGGCTTAAATTCTGAGCAGGCTTGAATAACATGAAAGCAAATGATGAGTCTGATAACAATGGACCAGATTAATTACTTTTCCCTGATGTTATCCTGCTCTCTTTTACATCCATCCATTTTTTGGGTCATGCCATCTGCCACACTTGCAACACTTTTAACTTTGCCCACTGATATTCCCCAGCCTCCAAGGCTGAGCTCAGATAATTTACCTGCACAAAGCCTTCTCTGATCCACCTAGCTAAAAAGAGGGAGAAGGGGTTCCCTTCTTGAACCTCATAGACCCCACCTTTTAACATCTCCCATATACTTAATCATATTTTAACTTTTATTATACCATTGATATATATGGCTCATTATGCAATGACACTACGAGCGCCTTGAGGCCAGGAGCTGAATTCTTCTCAGAATGCCAAGCACAACAAGCACGTAACTGAAGAAAGCAGATGCTAAGTTTCCTCTTGCGCTTAGTTCCAGGAAAACTGAAAAATACTAGGTCAGAGCAAGACAATGGATATTTTTGGGTCAGATTTTACATTTCCTGGAACTAATTTTCAAGTACACAATTGGTTTTTCCAACTTTTCTAACCTGCAAAAAAGGTAACTAGATTCAAATGTACTATATGCAGACACAAACATTTTTTGGACATTCTGTTTATTTTGAGACAATTAAGTACCCTTAAAATAAATGTCTATTTGTCCAATTTTCCAAAGCAGAGAAATTAACATTATATGTGTTAGCTAAATTTAACTGTCTTCTAGAATAATATAATGATCAAGTTATAACTGAGGTCACAGTAGCAATGACATAAAACAATACACTCTCATGAAATAAAAATGAAAACAAAATTAATAAACCGTGTCAGCATTTGTCACAAACCAACCTGAGATCTAAGACCTGACTTGCAATGACGCCAGGCTGCGTGGATTTTCCCTCAGGCAAATCATATAAAAAGAGTTTACAGTCACAGACAATTGCATATGCTCTCTGCCACCCTTTCTTCACCCCTGTAGGCTTTGGAATCTGCAAAGAAATAAATTTTATTTTTTTTAGAAAGACATTTTAAAACTGAAATTAATTTAAAATTAATCAGAAAATATAATACACTTGATTTCTCACTTCTAAGCCTGGAGTTAGTGAACTATGCATTGCGAATGACTAAGGAAAAATTATGGCATTCTATCCCTTATCCCATGTTTTCTAGTTTCAGATACCTAGGCTACTTCTTTCTATAATTTTTTTCAGAAGCTTTGTGATGAGAAGTGCTGACCTAGAGGTGTTCAGTTCATGTTTGAGAAAAGGTATTCTGATTACCTCCCCGACATATCAAGGTTGTTGACTGTAGTCTGTCCTTCATTCTTGAAGAGGACCATGACATCAGGGAGGTGATGCCATGACTTGCAAGTGAATTGGATTTAAGTGAGGGAGGGCTGTGAAAAAACACCAGGCTCACTTTCTCCTCCGGAGCCATCTGGGTCCAGTGGCCAGATACAGATCAAGATGACTGGAGATGGCCCCCATTAGGGAAGTACCATGCAAAATGTACATAACATTTGTACATAACATCTTTAATATTGTCCTGGGCTAAATGCACAATCACCTTTGACAGTTCCGTCAGTTAAATTTGACTGAGTTTCTGTTGGAAATTATCTGGGAAATTGGTTGCATGGCAAATAAACCAGAGAGATGGAAGTTAAAAATGGATAAACTTAAATGGAAACAATATCAAATGTATTTAGTTTCTAATCTCATTTTATTATTTATTTATATATTTAGTTTTAAGCAATTGGAGTTAAGTAACTTGCCCAGGGTCACACAGTATTCAAGTGTCTGGTCTGAGGCCAGATTTGAACTCAGATCCTCCTGACTCCAAGGTCAGTGCTCTATCCACTATACCACTTAGCTGCCTCATTTTTTTTTTAAGATTTTTTTTTGGGGGGGCAAGGCTATCAGGGTTAAGTGACTTGCCCAGGAACACATAGCTAGTAAGTGCCAAGTGTCTGAGGTCATATTAGAACTCAGTTCCTCCTGACTCTAGGGCCAGTACTCTATCCACTGCACCACCTAGCTGCCCTTATTTTATTATTTATTAAAGAAATTCAGAACCAACTTGACTATAAATAACTAACCATTTTCCATTAAAGCTCTAGTCTAATGTCTCATTTTAGCAGATGTAACCTGATTCTAAAAGGTACTGTAGGGGAACAAAAATTCTGGTGAACTCTACTAAGCTGGAAAGACTACAAATATGGGCCTGGTATCTGAGAATGACAGTCTGGTAATCGACTGATGAGAATGCTGGGTACCATGTAAATTTTTTTTGGCCACAGAAAGTCAAAGTGACTATGAAGATTTTAAAGTACTAGAATTTCCAGTGGTGGTGTGGCAGTAGTACCCACACTGTGAAGTCAAAATATTCTCAAGTACATTTTGGCAGATTAGGTAGACTAATAATAGTTCACATTTGCATAACCCTTCGTAGCTACAAACTGCTATATGTATAGTACGTTATCTTATTTAATTTTCACAGCCACTTCGAGATGGATAGTGTATTATTATCTTTCTTTTAAAGATGAGGAATCTAAGTTCCTAAAAGCTTTAGATATAATCAAGATCACAAAGCTGTTAGGTGGGAGAACTTAGATCAGAATTCAAGTCCATGACATCCCTGGAGCCCAGAGCTTTTCCTGTCTCTATTGCTGCCCCAGCCTTACCTTGACATAGCCTTTGTAAGCGGTTCCAATCCCTCTCTGTACATCTACTCCAAGAGGCCTTTTTGATTGTTCAGGAGGAATTGGACAAACCTGAGGAGCACTGTCTTTGCATGAAACATGGCATGAGAAGGAACACACTGGAAAAATGAAAGACATCATCAATTACATTCTAAAAAGAAGTCACTATGTATAATTACAGAGAAGACAATTTAAAGACACATAGCTGGCACTAGGAAAGAGCAGAGAAGTTTAATTGTCACTAGAAGAGGGTGCACGTGAAAATTCAGAAGTTTATCTGTTTCAATTTCTGCAATCACTTCTCAATACGCTTACAATGATAATATTGAACTTTTATGTGCTATAAGTTACTGCCAATATATGCATTTAAAGTAGAAGCCATTTTTATACTCCTCTGAACACTCTGTCAAGGAGGGATAGAGACTCAGGTGCGTAGCAGTCTAGGGGTACAAAGGTATAAAAGGTGGCACCAAGCAGAGAGTAGAGAGCACATGTCACAATGGTGCTATGCTGCTGAGTCTGGAGTCTCTTCTTGCAACAGGGGTTGGCTTGGTTGACCTTAAAGTTCTTACAATAATTACTTTTCACTGAGTTGACTAATGCTTCAAGTACAGAGGTTTCAATAATTTAATCTCAAAAACAACTTCTATTTGAATTACTCACCCTCACAAGCATAGCCTTGTCGAATTAATCCAACCATAAGAGAAGTGCAATGGCTACACTGTGTAGGACTTGAAAAGGATTTGACACTGAACTGGTGAGCTTTAGGCTGAAAGAGAAATATAAGAGAATAAAAGTAAAATAATAAAAATATAAAAAATGTAAAAATGAAAAATGAAAAAGAAAAGAAAAAAAAACTTAAAAAAAAAAGAGACTGATCACTTTCCTAACAAAACTAAAACTTAACTGGCTTAACTAGGTACAGACAAAATGGGTACATGATTTAGACATAAAGAGTGTTATCACAAGCAAATTAGGGGAGAAGAGAAAAAACCGCCTGTCAGATCTCTGGATAAAAGTTTATGACCAAACAAGAGAAAAAGAAAAAGAAAACAAAAATGAAACAGAACAAAACATGATCCTCTTTTATATAAACAAAACAAGTACAGTCAAAATTCAGGAAACCAGAAAAAAAATTTTGCATGAAATTTCTCTGATGAGGTCTCATTTCTCAAATATATAGGAAACTGTGCCAAATTTATAAAAATAAGAGCAATTACTCAATTGATAAATGGTCAAAGGATATGAACAGGAAGTTTTCAGAAGAAGAAATCAAAGCTATTGATGGTCATGTGAAAAAATGCTCTAAATCACTACTCATTAGAGAAATGAACCACCTCACACCTATCAGATTGGCTAATGTGACAGAAAACGAAAATCACAAATGCTGGAGGGGATGTGAAAAAATAGGGATACCAATGCATTACTGGTGGAATTGTATACTGATTCAAACATTCTGGAGAACAATTTGGAACTATGCCCAAAGGGCTATAAAACTATTGCATAGCTTTTGACCCAGAAATACCACTATACTAAGCCTGTATTCCGAAGAGATTAAAGAAAAAGGGAAGGGAAAGGGGCAGCTAGGTGGCGCAGGGGATAGAGCACCGGCCCTGAAGTCAGGAGGACCTGAGTTCAAATCCGATCTGAGACCAAACACTTGACATGTACTAGCTGTGTGACCCTGGGCAAGTCACTTAATCCCAACTGCCCCCCCCAATAAAATTTTAAAAAATGAAAGGGATCTATGTGTACAAAAATATTTACAGCAACTCTTTTTGTGGTGGCAAAGAACTGGACGTCAAGGGGTGTCTACCCATTGAGGAATGGCTGAACAAGTTGTGTTATACGATTGTGATGGTATACTACTGTGTTGTAAGAAATGACAAGCAGGATGGTTTCAGAAAAAAACATGGATGACTTATATGAATTGATGCAAAATGAAGTGAGCATAACCAAGAGAAAATTGTACACAGTAATAGCAATATTGTAATGATCAACTGTGAAAGACTTTGCTACTCTAATCAGTACAAAGATTCACAACAATTCCAAAGGACCAACGATGAAAAATGCTACCCACTTCCAAAGGGAGAACTGATGAGCCTGAGCGTAGACTGAAGCATATTTTTTTCTTTTCTTTTTTTTTTTTTTTTACTTTTGAGGCATTTGGGGCTAAGTGACTTGCCCAGGGTCACACAGCTAGTAAGTGTCAAGTGTTTGGTCTGAGGCCGGATTTGAACTCAGGTCCTCCTGACTTCAGGGCCGGTGCTCTATCCACTGTGCCATCTAGCTGCCTCTTATTTTTTTTTCCATTTTTATTTTTCTTGCCCTCCCCACACCCTCTTTTTTGCAACATAGCTAATAAGGAAATATTCTGCAGGACTTCACATGTATAATAGGTATCATACTGCTTGCCTTCTCAGAGTGGAAGAGGGGTTGGAGGAAGGGAGAGGATCTGAAACTCAAAAAAATTTTTAAATGAATGTTGGAAATAGAAAAATAAAAGTATAAAGAAAAGTGTAATACGACAAAAATAAAAATCAGGAGTTGATATATAGCTCTCCAGGGTAACCTTAATTCCAGTTCCAAACTTCTAACTAGTCTGACACAGAAACCAGTTTCTTTTCTCCCTATCTTAATTAGCATAATTAATGATCAGGTATCTTTAAGAATTACCTAAATTAATAACAACAATACATACATCATTTTAAGGTTTGCAAAGCACTTTCATGGCTGTTATCTTGTCAGAAAGGACTACTTCTATCATCCCCATTTTACAGGCCGGGAAGGAAATGGAGGCTCCCAGAAATTCAGTGATGTGTGAGGCCTCTCCTGATTCCCTGTCTAGCATTCTTTTGGCTGTACTTCTTAGCACATCTGGTGTAAAGAATAACATCTCTACTAATTGAAACTAAGGAGAGTGACAAAAATGGAATGTTTATCACCTGTTTGGTGACCTGATATTTTATTATGGAACAAGGCCTGATGAAGGCTTTTGGCAGTAATGGGGACAGCACTGACCCTGACCCTGACCCCCAGACTAGTCACTGAGGATTTCTTTAATCAGGCCACACTCAGATACACAAGGAGTGGCAGCCCCTCTATCTTTGCTGCCAATATTTCCTTACTGGACTCTGGGTTCCAGATAAAAGTCTTCCTAGGCATCTGATATGGGGGGTTGGGGAGGGGAAGAAGAGAAGAGAAAAGAAGTGGTTCGGGGTTCAGCTCTCTCCTGTCCCCTCTTCGTACACGGGATGCTTCTTTACAAGAATCCACATTTCTTTGAATTACATGCTGGGTTTCATTGGTCGTTTTGGAGAGGGAGTATGTACTGATACCAGCAACACTTAGAGATGACTGAGATCTTACAGACAATATAAACTAATGACATCAAATTCTAATAGAAATGTATCCCTGTGGGGTGCATAGTGACTTAAGAAACCTCAAATTAACATTATCTCTGTTGCATTACATTTTTATTTAGTTAAACATTTCCCAATTATATTTCAAACTGGTTGCCTGGCACCAAGTTTGACACCCGTGATCTAACAATAATAGCCAGCACTGATTTAGTGTTTATTATGTGCTAGGAACTGTGCTAAGCCCTTTGTAATTATTATCTTATCTGATCCTCATAATAACCCTAGGAGGTAGGTGCTATTATTATTCCCACTTTACAGCTGAGGAAATGGAGGCAAAACAGAGATTAAGTGACTTGCCCAAGATCACACAGCTAAGTAAGTGTCTCAGGTCTTCCTGACTCCAGGTCCACGATTCTATCCCCTGTGCCACCTTCCTTACTTTATAAATGCGGAAACTGGGGAAGTTCTCTCTGCTTCTTTAAATTTTCCTAGAGCATTTTGTTTGGATTTCTCCTTTGCTCTTAAATGTATACATGCCATATACTCATCAGTAGAAAAACCAACATATCCAATTACTTTCTAAAATGAAGGCCCTAAATAATATTTCCTACCTTTGGTACAGCTAGAGAAAGAGACTGGATGGTGGGAGAAGAAACAGCAGGTCCCCTCTGTTGAGGACGAGTTGTTTCCTATAATATAAGAAGAGATACAATTGCTTTTTCAATATTTTCTTTAATTTCCTACATTGAATAGTATTTATTTCTTTTTAAAAGTATTATTTTTTTAGTTATACTTCTAATTTACTATTTTAATAAATACTCAAAATACTCAAAGCAAGTTCACTAACAATTAAAGTAAAAATAAAGCACATTAACATACTTGTTAAACAGCCGAAAAAAAAAGTTCTATAAACTGTCTATAAAGCAAAGAACCAAGGCTACAAAGAAGTACACTTAATTAGAATGTGCTTCCTTTCATGATGGGCAGTATCTACAAATAAACACTAATAGATGATTAATAATCATATTAATAATAATTAGTATTAATAACACTATGTCCTAATGGAAGGTAAAATTCAGGTGAATCTCTTAGCAGAATAAAGTTAGCAGACTTACTTCTTGCTGTTCTGTGTTTATGGAAACTGAAATGGATGGTGAAACTTCTGGTTTGGGAACTTGTGGTTCTTGGTCATTAGTTGAGCTAGTCTGTGAAAAATAAAAAAGGAGTAGGAATGATAATTAGGACTTTTTGAACTCTGAGTCCTAAAGTATATATTGTTAAATAGCCTAGGTACTGATGAGGCTCTGAAAAGGTCTCCAAACTATATTTCTTTTAAAGTTATCACTAACCTCTTTTTACTCCTGTAGTGCTGTAGGTACAGCCCTAAAAGTCTGGCTTTCTTAGATCAACTACAAACCTCTCAGCTGTTGTAAATTAATGACATTTCATAGTCTCTGAAACAATGTGATGATGTGTTTATGAGTAATAAAAAAAATCACTGGACATGGTGGTGTATTTCTGCAGTTCTTACTACAGAAGAGGCAAAGGTTGGTGGCTCATTTGAGTTTGGGAGTTCTGGGCTGCAATGAGGCTAAAGCTGATCTGACATTTACACTAAGTTAAGCATTGATATGGCAAGCTCTTGGGGGACAGGTGAAGTTATCCAAGTCAGAAATGGAACAGCTTAAGTCTGTGTGATATTCAGCAGTGGATCAGGCCTATGAATTGCTACTAGGCATAATATAGGCAAATCTAGTCTCAAAAAAAAAAAAAAGGAAGGTAAATATTTTAAATATGCAAAGCTCTTTTTGGTCCCCTGTCCCTATAACTAGAAAAATGCAAAGTATATGACCTGCTTTATCATTCCTATAAAAAGACATGTGGAGGATGATGATCTTGTGGCCTTTTCTCTAAGTTTACTGTGTGCCTCTGATTAGGCTTTCTCTTAAGATAAAACAGCCTCATTCATTTTTCAAGGCAGAAATTCTGGCTTTATGAGGAACCTGCTGAAGTTACAACCCCGAATAAAAAGGCCAGGGAGCATGACACTCACTATAGGTACAGTCAGATTATTATGAATACGTTTACATTGCAGAACAGCCACTTAGTTTCTTGCTCAATTTAAGAAATTCTCTAAATGAATTCAGCAAGATTAGTTGTAATTGTGTAAAGACCCCAACCGTTAAAACTTACCTTAATGAGGATTACTAAAGTTAACATGCCATTACCGAAACATTAATATTTACTCAGTTTAGTATCTAGCACAAGAATAATATACTAATTTCAAAACTATGGTATAAAAACCTGGCGTGGGGTATCTACAACAATACATGGCTGGACTCTGTGAAATACAAGAGGAATGTGGTAAACGTTGAATTTTGCATTAACAAGATGAATATTACTGACTTGTTACAAATAATTAGGCTACTGGTATAAGGAACGAAATTCATGTAGGAAGGGAGCTCATACAAGCAACACTCAAGCACAATTATATATCTATATCTACCTACAACTCTATAACAGTATTTCAAAATGTTAAAAAAAAATTAGAAAAAACTGCTAGATTGTTTGCTAATTGCGAAAGCTAAAAATGGTGATTTTTATCCTATGAGACATGACGAATTAGAGAATTTTATCTTCAGATACCTGCATCTCCAAAGTAAACTAATTTTATTTTAAAGCTTTTTATGAAACTCTAATAAAAGTAGTTTTCTTTAGCTGGTAAGTTAAAATAAATTATACAAATTAAATAGTGAAGAAAATTCACTAGTTTAGTGGTGCCATCTTAACAAAGACAGAAAGCACCAACTATTAACAGAAACTTACCTCTTCAAAAAAGGGTAGCAGAGAAGATGCTGATGAAAAAATAGAAACCTTGGTTGTAACAGATAGGAGGGACAAAAATGATCATTTTCTACCCAATAAAAAACTTTCATGAAAGGTATTGGTAGCAAATTGAACAATTTTCAGTTTTTGTGGCATGTATTTTCCAAGCTGGCCAGCAAATTTAAAAAACTGTTTAAACTTCTGGGAATGTTTCAAATATTTTCTAGTTATAGGGACAGGGGACTAAAAAGAACTTTGCACATTTAAAATACTTATCTTCACATTTTTTGTTACTGTGTTTTACATTTTTTGAGACTAGATTTGCCTGTATTATGCCTAGTAGCAATTCACAGGCCTGACTAGTGTCTAGTACAGAACGCTGAACACTGGAATCACTTAATAAATGGTTTTTTAATTGGATTAGGCTAAAAGATCATCTAATAAGTATGAAACTTGCTAATTTAAAAACTTCCTAAGTTTTTATCAGTCCTAAGTTTAATCAGTCAACAAGCATTTATTAAGCACATATTATGTGACCCCCAAATATGGTGGGAAGAGTCTGATGCTTGGTTACATACAATTTGTGATGTTGCTTTATATAGAAGGCCCTGGCCATACAATGAATTTGGTTTGTACCTACTACACACTTCGATATGTCATCTATCAGATTATACATCTGATTCTTCTATCAGATTATAAACACCACACTGGCAGGAACAAAATGTTATCTAACTTTGCTATCTACGCTTCAAGGGCCTAGGAGAGCTCCCTGGACAGAGTAAGTACTTAATAAATGTTTATTCAACTGATGTAACAGCATTTCATTCCCATGCCTAACCTCTGTCTCTCAGACAGGTACCAATTGTTAATCCAGATGCTAATCCTTCCTCAAATTATTGTTTTTATATTACTTTTTTGGTTGCATCTTCTTAGTAAAACGTAAATTCCTGGAGAACTAAATCTATTTTTTGTTTTGTCTTTATCTTCAGTGTCTAGTACCGTACTTTGAACAATGGAATCACTTAATAAATAGTTTTTGAATTGGATTAGGCTAGAAGACTGTCTAATAAATACAAAACTTACTAATTTAAAAACTCAGTCAACGAGCATTTATTAAGCACTTATTATGTGGCAGGCACTGTGCAAGGCCCTGGAGGTACAAATAAAGGCAAAAACATAGTTCTTGCCCCTAGAGAGCACATATTCTAATGGGAGAGACAACATGCAAACAATTATATATAAATGACATTATGAGTGCACTCCCAAGTTTGCAATTCTGCCTTTTTGCTGGCAGTTTTACAAACCTGGAATGCTCTTCCTCCTCGCTTGTTTCCTGGCTTCCCTGACTTCCTTCAATACTCAGTTCAAACTCATCTTCCCTCTGAGATTACCTTCCATTTACACTATACCCTATGCCATTATACCCCCTTTATGAGAAACAGGCAGTGAAAAGGCAGAGTTAGAAGATGGAGTGTCATGTATGAGAAATGGGGTCCTGATTATCTGAGTGGAGAGAAGGCTACAGATAATGGGAATGTTGTGAAGAGAAGAATGACAAGACCGTGCAATAAATTGGATATGTGGGGTGACTTTGGGCAAGGAGTCAAGATTAACACTTAGGTTTTGAGCCTGGGTGACTATTAGTATGGACTTTTGGAAGAAAGAGGATTTGGGGGAGAAATTACAAGTACTGTTACTGTTGAGTATAAAATGTCAACAGGATATTCTGATCAAAATATCCAAAAAGCAGTTGGTAATGTGAGATTGCAGGTCAGGAGAGAGGATATACAGATCAGGGAATCATCTAAGAGATGATTATTGAACCTATGGGAGCTGATAAGATCACCAAGCGAGAGAGTATAAAAGGAAAGGAGAAATGGACCCAGGACTTAAACTTGGGACTGAACATCCAGCAAAGAAAACTGAAGAGTAGATAGACATGTAGGGAAAGAATCAAGAAAAAGGGCTATCATGATTACTTGAGAGATTTTTAACGTATTCTCTATTAATTCTGGAGGCAACTGCTTTTCTTTCTATCTACCATTAATATACCTAAACAAACTGCTGACAATTTGAAAACCTTAATTGCTAGCAATTCTCTGTTCCTCTATCAAACAAGTGTTTTTGATTAGTGAAATGAATGGAAAACGAATTCACTAAGGAGTAAGGTTTATAACAGAACTAGTAGTCATTGGTTATTCTATATTTCACAATAAGCTGTAGGCTTTTTCCAGGGACATGGATGGGAAAGAACTACTATCATTTGGTAAAATTTAAATGAAAGGGATTTGGAAAGTACTTACCCAGGTATGTAATCAGAATGACATTAAGCATTAAAAAGCTAGTTAAAGACCCCCCAGTAACGAGATTTATTTCCACCCCCTAAACTGCTAGGATTAATCACAGCTACTTATTCTTTTGTTTTTGTGAGGCATTCGAGGTTAAGTGACTTGTCCAGAGTCACACAGTAGTAAGTGTCAAGTGTCTGAGGTCACTCCAGGGCCGGTGCTCTATCCACTTTGCCACCTAACTGCCCTGTGGCTACTTTTTGTTTTTTTAAGGCAACTGGGGTTAAGTGACTTGCCCAGGGACACACTTATGTCAAAGTGTTTGGTCTGAGGCCGGATTTGAACTCAGGTCCTCCTGACTTCAAGGCCAGTACTCTATCCACTGTGCCACTTAGCTGACCCTGTGGCTACTTATTCTTAAGAGCCCATTTCGATTGTTTTGGATAAAGACGGACTAAAACAATGTGCCACCCCACATATCCATTTGGAATTTATAACATATAAAGTGAGGAAGCATGATTCATGTCAGCATTTAACAGATGCTTCCTCTAAAGTTATGCAGTCCATTAACCCTGGAAAGTTTGTTCTGAATTGCTCATATTATAAATACATTTACTGAAAAATCTGTCTGGGTGGGGAGGCTTCTCAATGAGAGACTCATAATGATGAAGTAATTTTACAATAGCAATAACAAAAATCTAGCTAGAACTTATTTTCTTACTTTCCCTTCCTCTCTCAACCTTAATTACATTACCATCCACAATGTGTTGCTTATTTCATCAATGAAATCTGACTTGTGGTCATATGGAAACAGAGTTGTTTTCTGGATCTCAGGAAGTTAGCACAGTGCAGTACATATACAGTCAGCAGTTGCTTAAAAAAATGTTTGTTGAGGGGCAGCTAGATGGTGCAGTGGATAGAGCTCCAGCCCTGGATTCAGGAAGACCTGAGTTCAAATCTGAACTCGGACACTTACTAGCTGTGTGCCCCTGGGCAAGTCACTTCACCCCACTGCCTTGCCAAAAAAAAAAAAAAAGGTTGCTGAATAAACTAAAATGGCATGATAGCTCAGTAAGGCAGAATGCTGCTAGCCTGGAAGCATGAAGCCAAGTTCATAGACAGCCAATCTCTGAGACAAGTACATATTCTTTGAATCTGCTATTGTTTACCTTGGGAGAGTTCATCTCTGGAAAGATTTCAACCATTTTTGAAGGAAAGTTTATAAACATACCACGATAGGTCAATTTCAAGCTCAGAACACACTTGTGATGCTTCATCAGATGTTGATTTATTATATTTTTTTCTGTGGATAGCTTTTGGGTATTTGAATATATGATGTCAATTTATTAAAAATGAACAACCCACATATCTCTGCAACCAAATCATTTGGTGTATATACTTACTCTAAATGTCAGATCATGTGCAAGAGGTGAAGTGTTAAAATACTCAAAAATTGATTCTTGAAAATCTGGAAGTTTGAGGCCTGAAAGGAAAAAGCAATTAATAAATTTAAAGTTAAGATAAACACATTATTTGAAAGTAATTTATTAGAAACTTTTAGTCAAATTTACCTGTGTCTGCCTTAAATTTCTCTTCCATCTTTTTCCTCAAATTCTCCATTTCTTCTAATAATTCTCTATTTTTTGCTTCAGATTCCTTGAGTTTACTAAAGTATTAAATGTAATTAATTTAGTGTTATGGAAAAAAAGACATTTTACATTGAGATTTAGTTGATGGGGCAACAGATTTAGAATCATGGTATAATGCTAATTAATAGCTATTTAATAAAGGAACTTAAAACATGCTTTAAAATTATAAACATTTACACAGAACTTATATTAGATTCATTATAATTCCCAAGCTGTTTATTACTATGAAACTTTCTATCACAGAATTCTATAATATCTATGATATTCATTTTAGCATTATTAATCTCATTTTTTAGTTGGGGAAAAAAGACAGTACACACCCAAGTTAAGAAATTTACCAGCAAGGTTATGCCTTAGTAATTCCAAGTTAATTCTCAGCTTATTGTACCAGCACATGTTATATCATCTTAAACTAAGACTTCAGCCATTAAGACTCTTAATGGGAACAAGTGGTAAACTTTGTCAAAGACAACTTAATCTCTTTCCCAAGTAGAGATCTGGCAATCACACAATTCCAATTCCTTCAGGGATTTGAAGTAAAAGTTTTTGGAAGGCACAGAAATATCTTTTTTTCCCCAGGTCAGGATTACAAACGTCAAAATACACGTAAGAAACAACTACCCAATCTGATGCTGAGTGAAATGAGCAGAACCAGGAGAACATTGTATACAATAACAGCCACGCTGAGCGATGACTAATATTGACAGACTTAAGCCTTCTCAGCAATACAACGACCTAAGACATCTCCAAAGGCCTCATGATGGAAAAGTGCTATCCACATCCAAAGAAAGAACTATGGAGTTTGAATGCAGATTGAAGCATACTATTTGCTATTTTTTTTTCTCTTTCTGGTGGTTCCTCCTATTGGTTCTAATTCTTACTTACAACATCACTAATATGAAAATATGTTTAACAGGAATGTATATGTATAGCCTGTATCAGATTGTGTGCCATCGGGGGGGGAATTTAAACTCAAAAGCTTATGGAAGTGATTGTTGAAAATTCAAAATAAATTAATTAAAAAAAAAAAAAAAGAAACAACCAACTATACCTAAAAGGCAGCTGGCATTGGGACTCATGACAGAGAGACAAATCAGTATCTTTTGTTAAGGAAATTGCTTCGGGGAACAAAAAAATTTTCTAATTAGTGGCTGATAACATTTTAGATTAAAAGTGATGAGGCAATAAATCAGCAATGCTCACTCCCTGCAGAGGGCTGTTGTATAGAGATTCAAACTAAACCAAATAAAAGGGTCTTAGTCAAGATATGGTCACAAAATCTCAGGGCTAGAAAGGACTGTAGAGACTATCTAGTCCAATTCATACTTGACCAAGAATCCCTTCTCTACCTACCCAACCACTGGTCCTCCAGCCTTTGCATGATGACATTCAATCGGTAGGTACTGGTTAAGCAATTGCCATGTGATAGGGACTGGGCTAATTGCTGAGAATACAAAGTGAGGAAAGAGAGAGTTCCCTGTCCTCAAGCAGCTGCCCACAGTCTAATTAAACAGTCCATTCCTACCTGGGAGGTAGGTCATAAGGCCCTTTTAAAAAAACTGCATATTGAAACAATGATGCGTCTCCTCACCATAAAGATAACTACTACAAATGTATACAAGAAAGCTTTATAATTATTTAAATTTCCAAACAGAACAATAACTTTAAATCTGCATTTTAAATTTTATAGTAAAAGGAAAATTATAAACAGATAAAATAAAAAATTATAAAGGAGCTAAATATGAAAAAAATGGGAATGGTGTGGATTTCTAGGGTGATTTGTGAATAACTTCACAGAAAAAAATTACAGTTGCCTTTAACTCAGATTATACTCTATAGAAAATGTGTGTAATTTGCTGCACAGATGAAGAATGTAGATCACCACCTTTCCATATGGGTAACAAATTCTTGATTACTTTTTCAAAAATGTCAAGACTACAAAAAGGTTTTTAAATTGAAATAAAATGTGGAAAAATAGGGAAATCAGTGTTAACTTTTAGTACCTTTCAAAGGCTAGATTTGTTTCTTTGACTTTCCTTAGCTCTTCCTGAATGAGCTGTTTGGCACGAATCTCTGCATCAAGGGCAGACTGCAACTCCAGCCGGGCGGACATATCTAATTTTTGACTACGACGCACTTTCCAAAGTGGATCCTGTTGAAATGAGTTAGTTAATATCAGTAGGAAGGAAATCTTTATTTATTTTAAATCTTAGTTAAATTAAAATGTTTAGAGAAAATACCTTAGCCTTCATGGAATTATATTAATAACTAGCATTTACATAGAACTTTATAGCCCTTAACAAATTTTACCTAATTTTACCCTCACAATAAGGGAGGTAATGTTACTGTTATGTCTTTACCTTTCAAATGCTAAAAAATTACATTCATGTCATCTTTTTACTTTGATTGGATCACTTCACAGCTCCACCAACAACACATTAAAGTATCTGCTTTTCCAGGGTCCTTCCAGCATTTGTCATTTTCCTTCTTTGTCAACTTAGCTAATCTAATAAATGTGAGGTAATGGAATAGTTTTAACTTGTATTTCTCTTAATTACTAGTGACATGCTTCATATGGCTATGGATTTTTTCCTTTGAAAAGTGCCTTGAACAGGTGATTTTAAAGAAACACAAATTACCAGTAGCCATATAAAAAAAGAACTAAGAATGGAAAATTAGGGGCAGCTAGCTGGTGCAGTGGATAGAGCACCAGCCCTGGAGTCAGGAGGACCCGAGTTCAAATCCGGACTGAGACACTTTACTGTCTGAACTATGCAGGGTGACCCTGGGCAAGTCACTTAACCCTGAGTGCAATAATAAAATAAAATAATTGGAAAATTAAAGCAACTTGGGCTGATCAGGAAAGGCTGAATCATAAAGGAAGTAAGCATTTCAGCTGGGTTTTAAAATGGATAAAGTTCAGAGGTAAAGCTCAACTTTGTCAGAATGAGTGAATACAGCCAGTGCTGGAATTAATAACAGCTAGCATTTAAATAGTACTTTACAAATATAATCAGTTCCGATATAATATTTATTTTGAAAATACCAATTTGATCTATTAGGGAACATTTTGAGCATAGCTCAAATCTTGAGTTAGCTTATGATTCATTTCTTCCAGAAGAAACAGTAAATAAGGATGCAGAAAACTGCACCGTGTCACAATAACTCACAAGCTGTGATCCTTCTGGTACCTACTTTCACAGCCAAGGTAAAGTGCCATATTTACAGTCTATGTTCTGGGGCAAGTGGACTTGTGCCCTCAAAGGAGGGCTGTTCTGCACTACCCCAATCTCCAGCTCCTAGCCGGGACCCAACCCCTAGCTGGGACTTGACCCCACTTCTATCGTGGCCTGTGCTGCTCCTGTCTGTTAGGTGCTGATCTGCTCTAGACTCTGCTAACTCCAGGCTCCTGGGAACCCAAACACAGGCCTGGTGGCAGACCAAGGCTACAGTATTTACGTATATATTAACCATTTAACACGTATAAAACTGTGCTAACATTTTTTATTTGGTCCATATCTTCTACAGATGTGTCACTGATGAAATTTTTGACCATTGTGCTGCCAATCTCATTTTCCCCATAAAACCTGTGGTTTTTATTCGCAATTTTGCTTTCTGGGAACTCATATGATGAGTTCTAACAGAAATGACTACTCATTTTAACCTCACAAGTACCCAAGGAGATAGGTGATGTTATGATCCCCATTTTAAAGATGAAGAAAATGAGGCAGAAAGAGGTTCAGTGACTTGTCCAGGGTCATAGACCTTGTAATTACCTGAGACTGGATTTCTAGGCCCAGAGCTCTATCTATGTGGCACTCAGCTGTCTCAATAGCAAAGGAAGACAATTAATAATAATGAACTAATAGCTTACCAGTGTCCTCGATCCTAAACTAGAGCTTCTCAATGATTCGAGTTCTTCTGTCATCTTGGAAGCTAAGGCCTGAAGATATCCACGGGCATCCTTTTCATCACTTACCCTGGCAGGACAATATAATACAGACTTAACTATTTTATACTAGTATACATATCACTAATACTGACATTCAAACAATAGTTAAAAAAGAAGAATGCTTCTTCCCTTTCATATTGGGACAAAAGTCACCTCAATTTTTACATTTACAGTAACTTAGCCAAAACATATTAATAGCACATGAGTATAATAACAAACGTTCATTGACTAATACAGTGGAAATTTCTGATACCCTTATATGGATTCACAGTCCTCCATTAATCATTCCTATATGCAAAATATCAGATATACGTAGAATACTAGAATACTAAAAATAATTTTATTCAAGCCTAAAACTTTAAACAGGGCACCTAGATAGCACAGTGGATAGAGTGCTGGGACTGGAGTCAGCAAGCCCCCCTGTCCTGAGTTCAAATATGGCCTCACACACTCATTAGCTATGTGACCTGTAGCAAGTCACTTGGTCCTATTTGCCTCATTTTCCTCATCTGTAAAATGAGTTGGAGATAATGGCAAACCTCTCCATTATCTTTGCCAAATGGGGGTCATAAAGATTCAGACACGACTGAAATGACTGAACAAATAACTTAAATAGCTAGAGAAAATATGCTTTGGCATTTAAAAAAAAAATCAAACTGCTGGTGTTATGAAAGACAGAACTAAATAAACCTAGATGTAAAAGGTAAAGTAATTCAGAACGTGAGAGGTAATGCAGCATGGTAGGAAAAGTTCTGAATTGGGAGTCAAAGGATCAGTGTTCAAATCTCTGCTTTCCTACTTGCTGTTTGTTTTGACTGTGGACAAGTCACCATCTCCCTCAGCCTCTTCATTTATCAACTACAGTAGAAAATTTATTAGGTCCCTTCCAATTCTAAAGACCTATATTTTTTATAACAGTATACTTTTCTGACAGCAACTCTCCTAACATCACTATACTCTGTGGAAACTCTGCTCTAGCCTCAAAAAAAACCCTATAATACTGAACGTTATGTCTGTTCACTCCCTTGCTCTTACTCTCATACAAAGGAAGGAGGGAACGTTACATCATTTGTTCCATGTCTCTGCTTCCATATCAATTCCTGAGGGAACTGAGGGGATCGGGAGGCAAGTAGTTAATGGAGTGAACCGCTCTGACTCTGCCTTGTGGCTCAGCTCCCTTTCTATTCAATTATGGGTCTAGTCCAACTTCCGTCTGGTGAGAAAACTTCATTCAATTGTGACAACTGGGAGAAAACCTCATTGCATTGGTTGAACCTAACTCCGCATAGCTAGGAAACCAGACTACCTCTGCTGTTAGACTCCTTTAACCAAGCATCTAGGTTATGCTGACCAGAAACTCAGTCAGATCCAAAGACTGATGCATGAAGTTTGCACACAATTGTACGTCTCAAGCAACCTATGTGTCTTATCTAAAAACTGGCCCCACACTAATCAATCACTTATTGTTTCCACGTTGCTCTTACAGTTTACATAAACTGAGGAGGGTTAGGGCATCTTTTTTTTCCCCCAGAATTCAGGAAATTGCACCTCTTCACTCTTCCCCCTCCCAACTTGGAAAGTCCCTAATCTTTCTTCCAATTAGAGATTAGGTTATCTAATGTATTGTTTCCTTTTAACTAATCCACCTTATTTGATTAATTGTTTTTAACATATAAAAAGCTATCTCCTCCTGCATTTAGGGTCCAGGCCTAAGCTAGAGGTCTAGTTCCACTTTGTTAATTAATCAATTAACATGTACTGCTTAAAAAATCCATATGCTCAGAAGATCAAATCTTTGTTTCCTTAGTCATTTCATCTTTCACCTACCATATCCTTCAATGTTATTTCTCAGTAACCTTTATTCCTTTGAAGTACAGTGCAAACTATTCATACTACTCTTTCCTTATCTTTGTTAACATTTATCCCAACTTTCACTATTGACTTATTATCTGATACACAGTTTTCTCTACCCCAACTCATGCTATCAACCTCAAAGCCTTGGACAGTTCCTTCTCTATTCCTGTTGCACATCGTCACATTCACACATAAGCTCGTATATTTTTAGCACTTCTAAGGTTCTGATATTTGAAATTCCATATCTTGTTCTATCTCCTACCTCATCATTTACATTAACCTATTGTTTGTCCTCCATATGACCTCTGGTCCCTCAATCTAGTCCTTCTGTCTCATTTGTCTCTACACCCAGCCTTGAATTTATGACTTTCCACTTTGATGACTTACTGGTCACAACCATGAAATCTGTTCTTCCCTTTACTCTCTTCCTCTCTGCCTATTCCCAGCCTAACTTCAGTGGAACCAATGCTGGTGCCCAGCAATCTTAATCTAGTCTTATTGATTCCCTATTTCATTAGCTAGTGACCACACAAAATCTTTTCTTCACTGCTCTAGAGCCCAACCACAGTTCTACCTCCAATACTTACAATAGCTTCCTACTTCACTAAGAAGATACCCTTTAGGAGTTCTCTCAACTCCCATTTCCCAAACTTCACCATTGTCATCATCCTATCTTCTTTTTACCTTTACCTGTGTCCTTGAAACCATTCCTGACTACTTCTGGACCTCAAGTAAGCATATCCATAATCTCCTTCAAACTCAATTGCTCAATCTCTCACTCTCTGGCGGCTTCTTCCTATCTGCCTATAGACACTGTCCTTGCAGCCTTTGCTGATGACAACTCCTCCAAGGCAGCTTTCTTCCTTTCTTCTGATTCTCCTCTTACTAACTGCTCTTCTTTTTATGTCCTCTTCAATGATTCCTTCGCATGTAAGAAACAGAGTGGCAGATCAAAGGAACAGATTAGGTATGCAAGACATAGTAGTCAATGACTATAGTCATTTACCATTTGATAAACCCAAAGATCCCAGCTTCTGGGATAAGAACTCACTACTGGACAAAAACTGCTGGGAAAACTGGGAAGAGTATGGCAGAAACTAGGCATAGACCAAAATCTTACACCATATACCAAAATGAAGTCAAAATGGGTTCATGATTTAGATATAAAGGCTGATACTATAAACAAACTGGGAGAGCAAGGAATAGTTTACCTGTCAGATTTATGGAGAACAGAAGAATTCATGACCAAACAGGAGATAGAGAACATTATAAAATGCAAAATGGATAATTTTGATTACATTAAATTGAAACATTTTTGCACAAACAAAGCCAAAGCAACCAAGATTAAGAGGGAAGCAAAAAACTGGGAAAGAATATTTACAACCAATGTCTGATAAGGGCCTCATTTCTAAAATATATAGAGAACTAAGTCAACTTTACAAGAATACAAGTCATTCCCCAATTGATAAATGGTCAAAGGATATGAACAGACAGTTCTCAGATGAAGAAATTAAGGCCATCTGTAGTCACATGAAAAAATGCTCTAAATCACTATTGATTAGAGAAATGCAAATCAAAACAACTCTGAAGTACCACATCACACCTATCAGACTGGCCAACATGACAAAACAGGAAAATGATAAATGTTGGAAAAGGTGTGGGAAAATTGGAACACTAATGTATGGTTGGTAGAGTTGTGAAATGATCCAACCATTTTGGAGAGCAATTTGAAACTATGCCCAAAGGGCTATAAAAATCTGCATACCCTCTGACCCAGCGATACCCACTTCTAGGGATGTATCCCAAAGAGATCATAAAAAAAAGAAAAGGACCCACACGTACAAAAATATTTATAGCAGCACTTTTTGTGGTGGCCAAGAATTAGAAATTGAGGGAATGCTCATCAACTGGGGAATGGCTGAACAAGTTGTGGTATATGAATGCAATGGAATACTATTGTGCTATAAGAAATGATGAGCATGTGGACTTCAGAAAAAGCTGGAAAGACCTGTACAGACTGATGCTGTGTGAAGTGAACAGAACTAGGAGAATGTTGCACACAGTAATACAAGGATCTAAGACATCTCCAAAAGTCTCATGATGGAAAATGCTATCCACATCCAAAGAAAGAACTATGGAGTTTGAATGCAGATCGAAGCATACTATTTACTATTTTTTTCCCTCTTTCTTGTGGCTCCTCCTATTGGTTCTAATTCTTACTTACAACATGACTCATGTGAAACTATGTTTAATAGGAACGTATATGTAAAGCCTATATCAGATTGTGCGCCGCCTTGGGGAGGGAGAGAGAGAAAAATTTTAAACTCAAAAGCTTATGGAAGTGATTGCCAATAAATCAAAATAAATTAATTTTTAAAAATTTGTTGAAAAAAATGATTCCTTAGCATGGATGTTCTTCCAAGTTCTATCTTGAAAGCCCTTTCTTTTCTTTCACTATCCCCTCTCCAATGAAAAATCTCATTCACTACAACAGATTAAATTATCATTCCTATGCAAATAACTCCCAAATTTAGACTTTTAGCCTTAACTTCTCTTCTAAGTTCAAAACCCACATCTCAAAAATGAACATCATTATCTGACTATCTCAGCATATAGGTGGCGCAGCAACAGAATGCAGGGCCTAGGGTCAAAAGATGGGAGTTCAAATTTGGCCTCAGATACTAGCTCTGTGACTCTAGGCAAGTCACTCAATCTCTGTCTCAGTTTCCTCAACTGTAAAATAGGGATAATGATAGCACCTACATTATAGGGCTATTATGAGGATTAATGATATAAAATTTGTAAAGCATTTTAGCACAGTGACTGGCACATAACAGGTGGTATACAAATGCCTATTCTCTTCCCTACCCAACTCCCTCAGCACCTTAAACTCAAAAGACAGGATAATGGAGCTTATGTTTTCACTCAAATTTTCAGTTCCTTCTGACTTCACTATTTCAGTGGTTCTAGTCATTTATCTCATCTTTCTCATATATCAAACTTTTGTGTAATCTTTGACTCTTCTGTCTTCATATCACACATCTAATACATTGTTAAGAACCGCTGTTTTTACACTCATAATGTTTTCCTCATCCATTCCTGCCTCGCCTAACTACCTAGCACAAGGCCCTCATTACCACCTATCTACATTATCATAGATTTCAAAAAGATCTCTCCGCCATCACTCTCTCCCTCCATATTACAGCATCTTTCATACAACTGCCTGACTAATCACATACATCTAGTGATGTCAAAATACTCAAAACCACACCACCCAATGGATAAAAGTCATTTTTTTGAATTACATTCAAGAACTTAAACAATCTGGTACTATTTTACCCATCTATCTTTCCCCATATGGCTTCCCACATCTAGAACTCCCCTCTGCCCACAGAATTCCAGTCCAATCTAATTCAACAAGTACTTATTAAGCAACTATTATGTGCAAAGTATTGTATCAGCCACTTCGGATACAATGACAAACAAAAAATAAAATGAAAAATTTCTACCCTAAGCCAGACTTAGATACCACTTCTGTAAAGATACCTTCCCTAATAGTCCCAGTCAATAATGATCTTTTCATCCCTGGATTTAACATAGCACTTTGTCCATACATCTCTTTATGCACCTATTATGCGATAGTCTATAATAAGTACTTTCTAATGTACAAGGTGAAGTACAATGTGGGATACTGGATAGAGTTGGCCTTGAAGCCAGGAAGTTCTGAGTTCAACTCCTATCTCTATTACATCCTGAGTTCCCAATAAATGGAGAAATCATAGCTTTAGTCCTTACCCCTATATACTGGGTATGGAAGGCCCAAAGACAAATGAAATAATCTCTGTCCTTAAAGAACTTACATTCTATGAGGAAGACAACATGTACACATAGAAGAGTATACAAAATAAATAAAAGGGAATTTTGATGATAAAGCGTCAGCAGCTGAAGGAATCAAAAAGCTTCATGTAGAACGTAGAGCTTAAGCTGAAGGGAATTAGGAAATATAAAAGAGGAAAGTGAAGAGGAGCTGTATTCCAAGTATAGGGAATAGTAAATCAAAGGCACAGAGTTAGGATAAACAGTATTGTATATGGGCAACAGGCAAACCCAATTTATAACGCAAAATAAGCCTGGAAAAAATAGGTTGGATCAAGGTTTTCAAATGCTAGTCTCTCACTCTAGGAGGGCAGGAACAATGTCTTAGCATACAGCTTTGCACAAAGCAGCCATTTAGTAGATCTTTCCAGAATTCAACCCTTTAGGGAAGGTTATAAAAGTATTATTATTCCTATTTTTCAGCAGAGGAAACCAAGGCACTAACACTTGCCCACTGCTTTTATTCTCCTCTCAGCTTTGCTCCAGACTTTCTAGATTTCAAAGCCAAGCCTGAACTGCTGTCTTATTCTGGAACTCCCCCCCCAGTATACCTGGGATCTCTTTACCTTGGACACATCCAACCACTCTGTGGCCTTCTCAACCTGGAGTATCCCTCTTTCTCCAAACAATGAATTCCTCCTGGCACTGGCCCAGGCCAGCCAGCCTTCATTTCCCTCCAAGCTTTATCCTTTATTACCTAGATTTCAAAATCTTCAGTCCTTCCCTCTTCTCCCCACCTTCTAGCTTCCTTTTATGTGTTATTTTTCCCTATTAGAACGTAAGCTCCATGAGGGCAGACAGTCTATCTTTTTGCTTCTATTTGTATCCCCAGAACTTAGCACCTAGCATATAGTAAGAGCACTTGTTTCCTTCCTTCCCTCCACTGTCACATGGCTAGTAAGGGTTAGAGGTAAGACAGAAACCCAGAACTTCTGACTCCAAATCCAGTGCTCATATTCATCAAGATAATTTTAATTATTATTTTTTTAAATGTTTGCACATTGTTTAGATATCTACGGGATCGTGAGTTAGCACGTACCACTGAATAATTTCTGCAATCTGGGCTTCCCAGTGGGCAACTGAATCCTTCTTAGCTGCCAAATCTTGAAGTTCATCTTCTAGTTGCCTGTTTTGAGCTGTTAGTTTATCCACAAATGCACAAAGCTGAAATGAAATTATTTTTACTATAAAATTAGTCAAATTGATGTGATTTGAGCACTCAGTACTAACAAGATGGCTTTTTTGCAACAACTGAACTAAAATTTAAAATAATTCTGTTCTTAATTTTCATTATTAAAATTTCCCAAATAATGAAAAGCCATGTTTATTTTCTAACTTCAAGATAAAATGTTTTGATTGGCTGAATTCCTTTTAAGTTAAAACGGAACAGTTTCTTATAGATTGAAAATATCCCCTTTAAAAGGCTAAATCAGATACTCACTTGATTCTAAAAATTAGTACCATTAAAACAATAACAAGCTTCAAAGATATTAGACGATTAAAACATTCATGAAAAGTAATCATTATATATCTTTAATTACCCTTTCAGTTTCAGTTGTTAATTTCTTGTTCTCTTCAAACAGCATTGCTCTTTCTCGCTCATATTTATCTTTTACTGTCCCTACTGCCTCCTCCATCTCATTATGTCTAAGGCAAAGAAGGGAAAATATAAAAAAGTTTAGTACCAATGAATTTATCTTCCCCTTTTTTTAGTAAACCATAGCATTTTTCACAATACTATTCAGGGTCAGCACAGTGCATTGTAGGCACATTTCTTAAATGAACATAGAAACTTACCTTTCCCGTTTTGACTTTTCCAATTTATCTTTTAACATTAAGATTTCTTTCTGAAGTGCTAACTGATGGCTTTCTGAATCGTGCACTTCCTTTTTCACATTTTTGACTTCTAGAACATGAGAGGCCTCTCGCCTGACCAATTCCTCTTCATAAAACAAAACTTTCTTCTCAAGTTCAGATTTTATTTTGGAAATTTCCTGCTGATGTTCTAAAGTAACACCTGATCCACGGATTCCTTGCTTTATCTGGAGACAATTTAAAACGTCAGAAAATACAAAAAAGGCTGCATAGTATAGCAGAAAGAGGGCTAGAATTAGGTGATACATGGTTTCAAGTTCCACTTCTGAGACTTACTATGTAACACACAAGTGGATCACAGGTAAGTAGGTAAGTCTCAAACTCTCTAAGACTCATTTTCTTTTGTGAGACTTTGTTTTGCAAAATGGTGAATACCTGCAGTACCTATTCTTCCCTCTACCATCTTCTAGCCAGCTCCAGTTGGCTATTCCCCAAATTAATTTAAAGTTCTGTCATTTTCCACACTAAAATATTCCTCCCTGGCTGCCATTTTCCTATGTGTTTTCTTCCCCATTAAAATATAACGCTCTTGGGGACAAGGACTATCTTGTTTTTGACAGCTGTATCCCCAAAGCTTAGCACAATGCCAAGCACAAAGTAAGTACTTAAATGCTTTTCTATTTATTCAAATGAGATAATGTATACCTTAAAGCATGATATAAATGTCAGTTATTATGATGATATAAATTTAAATGTCAGTCCTCAAGCACAATTTTATACAGGTGTTCTCTGTACCCTTCTCTCCCCAAGAGAAAAATCTTTCTTATTTTAATGGACTCTGAGGCACTCTTAGGCCTGTGTTGTGTTATCTGACCACTGGGATCCTGAACTATCATACTATAGCATAGGCTCTAAATTGTTTTTCCAAGTATCTCTGCACTGAACCATCCATACCTTCTCATGTGGTCCTCCAGTGGCATATAGTTAGGAGTAAATTCATACTTCAGGTAAGGTATTATATTAGATGACCTATGGGATCATTTTAAAACTCTAAGATTCAATAAGTTTAAGGGTGGGGCAGCTAGGAGGTGCAGTGGATAGAGTATTGGCCCTGGAGTCAGGAGGATCTGAGTTCAAATCCAGCATCAGACACACGACACTTACTAGCTGTGTGACTCTGGGCAAGTCACTTAACCCCAACTACCTCATATAAAAATATAAATAAATTAAAGATAAGTTTAAGGGTAAAGTCTATGGTTATATAATTGTTTTTCCTGAATGTAAAACTAAAATGGCTCTTCCAGATATCAAGTCTTTCCTCTTGGCCTCAGTCCCATTTTCTCACCAACTAAACTATCTGGTACACACAATCTAATAGCCAATCACTTATTCCTACCCCTCCACCAAAGCAATGATCAGGCTAGCCTCTCCTTCATTTCCAAGGATTGTGTATTTAGGGTAACACTGCATTAGCTTTAAACTTAATGCAGTTTAACATAAACTAAAATGCTCTGATAGCAAATTAAAACAGCAACTATAAAATGCAATTTATATAAAAAGAACTTTTTATATTTAAAAGAAAAAATATGAATTAAAAGGATTACAAACAGATGGGTTGACTATTTATATCCCGTGCGACAAGAGGAAATTAAGTGAAAGCAAAGATCATGTCTTATATTTCTTCATATCTTCCAAAGCATCCACCTACCACAATGTACTGTGGATTCCTGCAAATGCACTAATATGTTCCTGACTTGTATGCAATCTACAATGGCAGATCCAGTTACTGATTTTATTCTATTCTTATCTCTATTTAAAAACAATCACCATCACCTTAAGGGCCTCCAGTTCACTTTCCACTTGCTTAGAGAAGCTCTCACTATGTTCACGAAGCTTACGCTCCTTTGATGCCTCTGCAATTGCATCTTCAAGTCGAGATTCGAGCTAACAGAGGAAAAAGAAGCTTGATGTTTATTTGTTATAATGTTTATTACACCAATTCATCCTCTCTCCCAAGGGAAACCAAAGACACTAAAATCCTGAAGATCATTCTACCTCCTACCATAGCCAAAGACTGAGAAATATACTTTGCAGCCCACAAAGATCGGCTTATCTGAAGTAAAACAAAGATTCTAAGTCAATGATTTATATCGAAGAATAGGTTTCTATGGGAAAATGACAAATAAGGAAAACAATTTGCTCTCTAGAAAACTGATTCTTAACTGAAAGTCAAAGGTACAAGGCAGATTATTCTCCAAAGATCATTAGATTACAATAAAAATGTATGAATGGAAGTAAACAGCTTTTGAGGGAAAAAAAACCATGAGATTTTGAGGTAAATATTGAAACATAAAAGCATTTAAAAGAAAGTATAATTTCACAAAAAGATTACATTTGGTTGAGAAAAACATTAAATATACAAATTAAAATGACCTGCAAATGTATATTACAATTTAGCATGATAAAAATAAAATAATTCACTTTGATCCTTAAGACTTATCTTAAGGAAATAAGTAAGCACCAACTATTATCTTCATATTTACAGCAATGCAGAATATTTATAGTAACCAAATGGCAGGAACATAAATTTACTATTTATTGTTTTCTCCATCTTCCTTTTATACAACTTGAGCATACTTTATGTAAGTACTTTTGCTACACACTAAAGTATGCTCCGCTTAAATTTTTTTTAAAAAAGGCATTACGGGGGGCAGCCAGGCGGTACGGTGGATAGAGCACTGGCCCTGGATTCAGGAGGACCTGAATTCAAATCTGGTCTCAGACACATAACATGTATTAGCTGTGTGACCTGGGCAAGTCACTTAACCCCACTGCCTAACAAAAGGCAAAATTGCCTAACAAAACAAACCAAACAAAAAAAAAAGGCATTATGATATAGTGTAAAGAACAGTGGACTGGAAATCAAGAAATATGAAGTCTAGGGAGAGACAGCTAGGTGGCGCAGTGGATAGAGCATCAGCCCTGGAGTCAGGAAGACCTGGGTTCAAATCCGACCTCAGACATGTAACACTTACTGTGTGACTCTTAACCCCCATTACCCTCCCCACACACACAAGTCTAGCCTTGGCTCTACCATGAATTTACTATGTGATTCTGGGCAAGTTATTTCCCCTTCTCTGGACCTTAGTTTCTTCAACTAAGCAGCACTGTGGCATTGTAGTACATGGAAAGAGCATTATGAACTTGAAATCTAAAGAGCTGGATTTGAATCCTGCTTCTGCAACAAACTAGCTATGGAACCACAGAGCTGGTCTGCTCACCTCTCTATTTCCTCATCAAGGGAGCCGGGCTAGAAATGATCTCTAAAGTTCTTTCTAAGTTGAATTTCCTGGGATTCTGTAAAGGCTATGAAGTTGAAATAAATAAATTCTAAGGTCCCTTTCCAACTCTAATCTCCCTGATTCTATAATTAAATATTTTTTTAAAATTTATTATATAGGAACTACTATAAGAACTTCAAAACAAAATTCTGATGAAAGTCGTAAAGTGTGTTATATGTGTCTGTGTATATATACATACATATATATGTGTGTGTACATACACACACACACACACACACACACATATATGTATACATATATATATACGTACATTTTTTACTTTGGCAAACCAAGGTGTTTGGCTTCAAATAAAATTTTTTTAAGACACTATTTAAAAACAATGTATGCGTTCCATTTTTAAAAAAGAATGTTTTGAGAATACACTGATTTACCAAGGCTGATTAGAGACAATCTATTATATTTAAATATATGCCATGCTACCTCCTTTCTGCTTTCTCAGATTTACGGATTTCTTGTCTCATTGAATCAATTTTTTGCATGACTACTTCCACCTCCTCTTCTTTGTCACGAAGCTGTCGAGATATCTTCTGCTTTTGTGACCGGAGGTCTGCCATCCGCTCATTGAGCTCTGAAAACTCCTGCATGGCCAACTTTCTCTGTTGATGGGCATCTTTGAGTTCTTTGGTCTGAGATTTTAATCTTTCTGAAGCTTCAACCAGTTGCTAAAAGAAAACAATAATATACAATTTCATTTACAAAATCTCTCTAAACCACAGAAAGGTGCCAACCTGCCCCACCTCTTATTCACTCATACCAACAGCCGAACTCAAGTTTTCATCACTCTCAATTAGAATCCAGCAATAGCTCCCATACTGATCTCTGTGCCTCCAGTATCTCCTTGTTCCAATCTGTCCTCCACTAAATTGCTCCAGTGATATTTCTGAAGTACCTATCTGCACTGGTCACTCCCCTGCTCAAAAAGCTCCAGTGCTTCCTGAAGCCTCTAGGATCAAATACAAACTCCTACGTTTGACACCTAAAGCCTTTCCCTCTCTTGACCTAGCCACTCTTTCCAAACTTGTTACAAATTACTCCCCTTTGTGCACTCTACAACCTAGCCGAACGGGCTACTCGTTATTTTGAACAGAGGACATTTTATCTCAGTTCTGTGGTTTTGTGCAAGGAGTCCTCACGAATGTGCCTGTAATACATGCCCTCCTCACTTCTACCTCTCAGAATTCCTAGACTCCTTTTAAAGACCAATTCATGTCACCTACGATACGAGGCCTTCTTTGAGCCTCGCAGCTAGTAATGCCTCTTTCTCTAAATTACCTTGTATTTATGTTACATATGTTAAACATATACATGCTGCATCCCATAGTGGAATAAAGATTTCTTAAGTGCGAAAACTGTTTCTTTATTGTCTGTATACTTCTAAGTACCTAGTACAGTGCCTGGAACAGAGTAGTCACTTAATAACTCCTCAACTGACTGATAAGGAAGCAAGTCACGAGATGTTCATAGGGTGACTGGGAAGATTATAAGGAAATAGGAAGGATCATGAGTCAGTTGAATGTCATGTGCATGAGACTTCTAACTGAATAAAAATGCAAAATTTATAACATCAAATATGAACACTACTTCAAAACTAAATTTGCTTAGAATTTTATAGGTGAAAAAAAATTACTGTTTCAAAGGAAAAAAAGATGGATTTTTTTTTTCTTTTTGACAAGGAGCTTCAACCACAAAAATCTCTACGAAAGTTTGCCTAGGCATTCAATTTTTATCATACTATGGAATAATTTAAAATTAATGGTGTAATTAGATAATCATCTATAACTGTGTCAAGCTCAAATAGAAACCGATCCCTGCAACCCACATATTAACTTAGAAAATCACAAATTAACATTATTTATACTGTATTGTATTTCTATTTATTTTGCTAAACATTTCCCAATTATATTTTAATCTAGTTTCCTCTGCAGAAGCTTCGGTTGAGGCCTAAGGACCATGAGTTTCACACATCTGACCTATAAGGTACATAATCTATCATAATTACTATGGCAAAACAACTGAATAATGTAGTTGAAGGAAAAACAAATTTAGCAGATAACTTCTTGCATAAGCTTACTTCTACAATGAAAACAAATTCACAAGAACAGGTGCAGGCAGAGTCAGGCTTCATCTAACAAATGTGGACAAAACTAAGCTGTAGCTCTGCATAAACCTTGAAGTTCTAACATAGCCATGGGAGAAACTTTGAATGCTAAAGGACATTTTCTTCTTCCCTACTAGAACTTACAAATGAAGCCTAACCATAGTAACAATATATTACTTTAAAATAACTATTGAGCTAAAAGATAGCACGACATAGATAGACAGATATAGACAGCATGGTGTAGGGGAGACACACCTGCCTCTGACATTTACCATGTGACCCTGGGAAAGCCACTTAATCTCTATGTGCCTTGAGTAACTGTAGATTTCAACTACAAAGTCATAGACAGGTTGTCTTCAAATTGGTGGAAAAAATTTCTACTTCTGGAATTTCCCATGTTGATGAAAGCACACATCCTTTGCATATCCATACATCAAGCTTATTTGGCTGGGTAAGATCTATAGATTTCCTGTCATTATTAGAAAATGAATTTTTTTTTTTGTGACAGAGTTAAGTGAACTCAAATGGAGAGCTGCTTTTTTAGGTAAGCAGCTGTGCTGAGAAAAACTTGAAAGTAGTAGTCAAACACTTATAGATTATGATGGAAAACATTTTTTAAAACTTTCTAAAGAGTATGTCATTAAGTAGGTATGTAAATCAATCATTTTTCAAATGGGTATGTGCCCCCCACCCCCAACAACTAGAAGCCTGACTACCTTCTGCATATCCTCCTTTTCTTGCCGAAGCACTCGGAGCTGCTTTTCTAGGCCCTTCAGTCTGTGTGTGGAATCTTCATGCTCCTGGCGAAGTGTCACTGCATCCTCAAGTCGTCGCTCCAGCCTATTGGAATCTGGACAAAAGTTTTTTCGTCAATTTTGTGTTCCTTTATATAGACTGAACAATGTGTATGTACCCATTCAAAAATATACATGAGTATCTACAGAGAGGAGTACATGTAAATGTATATTCAAATGAGTTATTTACAATAAATTTTATAATCTTATTAGTTCCCTTTTCCCAATTATCTTTATTTTGATGTACTCTTGACCTTAGTAGGTAAAAACCTTGCTCTTAGCCTAAATTTTTAAGACTAGAAAGGCTGCTAGAATGTCAGTTGTGTTCTAAATAAACAGAAAGGTGTGGGGCCATCTCCAGTCATCCTGATCTATACCTTGCCACTGGGTCCAGATGGCTCCAGAGGAGAAAATGAGGCTGGTGACTTTGCACAGCCAGCCCTCCCTCACTTAAATTCAATTCACAAAGTCATGGCATTACCTCCCTGATGTCATGGTCCCCTTTGAGAATGAAGTACAAGGGGCAGCTAAGTGGCACAGTGGATAGAGCTCCAGTCTTGGAGTCAGGAGAACCTGAGTTCAAATCTGGCCTCAGACACTTGACATTTATTAGCTGTGTGACCTTGGGCAAGTCACTTAACTCCAATGATATATGCCAAGTACTCTTTGTCCTGTTTGAATAGTGCATCAATCAGAATATTTGCTGAGTTCCTACTATCTGTCCTGTTCTCAATATAGGGTGGAGGAGGTGGCAGAAAAAACAATTTGACAAAGGCTACTGAGAAAAACAACAGCTTGGCAGAAAATTAGTTTAGACTAACATCTTATTATCATGATAAATTTCAAATGGATAAGCAATCAAAATATAAAAAGCTACGCCACAAAAAATTAGAAGAGAATGGAAGTCTATATCTTTTACAACTATGATCAAGGAAAAAAACTCAGGTTTGGACAAAGAACAGAAGAGATTATAAAGACAAACAATTTTGATTTTAAAGCTTCTAGACAATGTAGGGAAAAATAAAGCTATGATAAATGAAAAAAAACAACTTTGTGTCATATAACTCTGAGAAAAGTCTGACATCCAAAATCACTGGATAATTGACAAAATTTTATAAGCCAGACAACCCACTGCCTAGTAGACATACAGTCAAAAAGGTAGGAAAAAATTTTCAAAATAAGCAAAAAACAATTCATAATGATATTTAAAAAACATTATAAATCAATAATAATTAGGGAAATATAAATTAAAACTCATCCCTATCAAAACGACAAAGATTGTGAAAAATGAAAAAAGTCAATGTTGAAAAGGCTATAGGTAGATAAACAAGATAATTCACTGCTAGTAAACCTTCGAATTGGTCCAAATGTTCTAGAAAACAAATTGGAATTATGTGAGAAAAGTTACTAAACTGCTCATAATTTCACATCCAGGAATTTTACTTCTTGGTTTACACTCCAAGGATATAATTACAAACCATCAACACTTTAAGTGTCTGCTATGTGCCAGGCGCTGTTCTAAACATCCAGGATACAAGACAAAAATGAAACCAGTACCAGCTGTTAAGGAATTTACAATTTAGTAGAGGAAGACAACATGTAGGTATATATAAAATACATACAAGGTAACTGGGTGAGGGGTAGGAAGAGAAGGAAGAAGACACTAGCATGTAGGGAGATATAGGAAAGGTCTGGGGGACAGTAACTGACTGCTGTCTGAATCTGGATAAGAGGATAGAATAAACATCAAAAGAGGAGAGGTTTCTGAAGTGATGGAGGAGCTACTCCTCAGTGGAACTGACAGTGAGTAGCAAGAAGCATACCTACCCCTCCTCCTGGCCCTGCAGGTCTAGCAATATGAGAAAGGATGTTACATCTAGTAGTAGAAAAGGTGGGCAGGAATTAATTTATCATTGGGGGAAAGCAAATCTCCTTTTCCTGCAAGGAGATGGATAGAGTGTCAAAGAAAGAAGTCCAAAAAGAAAGACACTTTGTTAAAAATAGAATACGGCTTTTACAGATCACAAAGGAAGGGGAGGGTAGAGTTGAATAGAGATCTGGGAGGCAACAGGGCTGACACAAATGCATATGAGGAGGCAGGGATGGATGAACAATGGAAAGGAGTTTAGGATCTAGGCTGACTATTACTTAGAATCCAAACAATGGTTGTTAGTGGATCCATCAGTATCCAGGCTACTAGATCAGGAGTTCTTAACCTGAAACCTATGAACTTGTATTTTTTTTTAATATTTTGATAACTATATTTCAATAACTGGTTTCTTTTTTGATCCAAAAATTTTATTTTATGCATTTAAAAACATTATTCTGAGAAGGGGTCTTCACTAGACTGCCAAATTGGTCCAAGAAACAAAAAAGTTTAATATTTACACTATATAGTTACACTCTTTTCAATAGCATTGGATCATTACTATTCCCTAAGAAAAAGGGTGGGTGAGAGGGAGGACAAATGGCAAGACGCCTATGCTGTCCAGGACAGTGTACTAGTGTGATGACTGGTTAGGGTAAAGTCCTATCTAGGGCTGGCCAGATTAAGAGAAGATCATAGTGAGGCTTGAATCATTTACTCTCTAATTTAGGGCAACTCTGCCCCAGATGGAGTGCCAACATTGAGTAGATTAACTTCCTTCGGAGTAGGAGGAAGATGAGGGGTGTAGGGGTGAGGAGGGTCTCTTGAGGAAACCTCCAGATCAAGAGAAGGATGATTTCCTGATTCTTATTTCAATGTGCCACTTGACAGATAAAAATCAAACTTTAGAGACATAAAAAAAGTTCCTAGTTTAGTCCAGGTTTATTTCACTTGGGTATAGACAAAACTGACTTTTTCCCTTTTGAACCCTTTTATACACTGTTAATGGTCAATCTTTTTTTGGGCAGGCTGATTCCAAATGGACTTAGACTTTTCGCTAGGTTGCTTTTGACTTCCATTCTCTCTGCAGTTTTAATGTTTCTAGTGAGACTTCAGTCGGCCCTAAACATTTTGCCCTAGATAAAAAAGATACAATGGTGTAGTGGGAAGAACCCTGGATTTGAAATCAGAAGACCATGATTTGAATAATAGTCCTGGTTGTGCTAGATGATCTCTATGGCCTCTTCCAGATTTAAATCTATAGTGCTATGATTACGTATAAGTACATTTCCAACTTGCACAAAGACAACCACAATTTACACGATGAATACTGCTAATCAGGCATTGGTGGTTGTGGGAAATTAAGTAAAGATCCAAGATGCAAATAAGAAGTGCCGAATACAGTCAGTTGGTCAACTAGCATTTATTAAGTACCTACTACATGCCAGGCAGTGTGCTAAGTGCTGGGGATACAAAGAAAGGAAAAAAAAACAGTACTTGCTCTCAGTCTAATTAGGAAGACAACATGCCAACAATTATGTACAAACCACTAAGATTAAGAAGAATGGAGAAGAGCTACTTGCAAAAGGTGGGATTTGAGCTAACGTGAAGGAAACCAGGGAATGGAGGAGGTGAAAATGAGGAAGCGCATTCCATTCAGGAGGGACAGCCAGGAAAATGCCTGGGAACAGGTAGCAGAGGGGTTCGTTCGAGGAACATCAAGAGGGCCAATGTCACTGGATCCCAGAATATGTGGAGGAGATAAGGTGTAAGAAGACCAGAAAAGTAGGAAGGAGGGCAAGGTTGTGAAAATAAGGGGCTCTATATCGGATCCTGAAAGTAACAGGAAGCCACTGGAGCTTACTGAATGAAGTAGAAGGAGGAAGAAATATGTGTGTGAATGGTCACATCTACACTGTAGGAAGATTAATTTGCCAGCTAAGTGGAGTGGGGGGAGCCCAATCAGCAGACTATAACAGTAATCATGAGGTAATGAGAGCCAGAACTGGAGGGTAATACATAGGCAACACACAGGATCGAGGGCAGCTGGGTGGCATAGTGGATAGAATGCCAAGACTGGTTCCTGAGTTCAAGTCTGGCCTCAGGCATCTCCTCAGCAGTAATAAGGAACGTGGGAAGAGAGGAAGGGTAGGGACAGAAAGATAACAAGGTCAGTTTTAGCCACAATGAGTTTAAGATGTCTACAGGTCATTCAGTTCAAGATGTCTAATAGACAAGACCTGCTAATAGGAAAGGCAAGATTGGAGGTCAGAAGTTATGGCTGGACAAGGAGATCTGGACAATGACTTTCAGAAAAAGTCATTTATATAGAGACGATAACTGAAACCATGGGAACTGATGAGACTACCAAATGAATTAGTACAGAAGGAGAAGAGAGAGCCTAGGATAGGTATGACGTGGATGAAGATACAGCAAAGGAGACTAAGAAAGAAAGGTCAAATAGATAAGAGAGAACATGGATAGAGTACTCAAGACAGAAAGGTCAAGAAAGAAAAGGACTGAGAAAAGATCCTAAGTCTTTCTAATTTTCTCTGAAATCACATTTATCATTTCTTATGGTACAGTTATACCCCATTAATTCACGTACTACCATTTGTTTAGCCATTCCCAAATTGATGGGCATCAATTTTGTTTTCAAGTTTTTGATGATACAAAAAGTGCTGCTATAAATATTTTGGTTATCTATAGGACTTTCTTTCTAACTGGTCTCCTTGGGGTATATGGCAGTGATTTTAGTCACTGTCTTAGCTTCAATTCCAAACTTCTTTCCAGAATAAATGGGACAATTTACAGCTCCACTAACAATGCATAAATGTACCTATCTTTCCAGAATTCCTTTAACTTTGTCTATTTCAGTCTTTAGTCATCTTTGCCAATTTAATAAGTGAGGTGTGAAACCTCAGAGTTGTTCTGATTTGCATTTCACATATTATTAATGATTTGGAGCAATCTTTTATATGGTTGATGAGAATTCATGATTCTTCTTTTGAGAACTGTATTCATATTCTTTGATCCCTTACCCACCAGGAAACAACTTCTGGCCATCTGAGTTAATTCCCTATGTATCTTGGATATCAAACCCTTATCAGAAGTATTTGATGTAAGATTTTTTTTTCTTAATTGACAACATCCCTTATCCTTGCTACACTGACTGTGTTCAAGAAAAAGCTTTTCAACTTCATGTAATCATAATTATTTATTGTATCTGTTGAATCCTGCTTTAATTTTTTATGAAGCACTTTATATATAGTACCTCACTGGGGTAGTTTTTGGTAAATCAATTTTTCTTTCCCAAGCCTACAATTAACTGTATTTTATTACAACCATAGCAGCTGGAGATAAAACTATTTCAATCTATTGACAAATACCACATAAATTTAAATAATTGAGAATATTATTCATCTGATTAATTTCTTAATTGAGAACCTAGTATGCAATTTTTCTCAATCTGTACAAACACTTGACACTCCACTATAGAAACTGAAGTGCTACACATTAAAACCAAAACACGTACCTGCTATTTTATTCTTTAGCCGTTCAATTTCTTCATTTAATTTTTTTATTTCTTTATCTCTGTTTGAGTTTCCTGTAGAGCGAGCCGAACTATGAAAGGACTGTACAGTTTGTGTGGATTCTTTAGAGAATGGGGATAAGAAAAAAATGTTAGAATGAACTCAGGTTTTGGCTAATTTGGAAATAAATCACAATATTTTGCCACATGTGGCCAATGTTATGCCACAGTATAGTGACTTACAAATTATTTCCACAACTGACCTTGCAATTTTCTGCTCAATTCCAACTTTTCTTGTTCTAGTCTTCGTATTCTTCTTTCATATGCTTCAATTTGCAAGCTGTTCTCTAGATCCCGTTGTACGTCCTCATCTTTGGTGATAGCATTAGATTGCATTACACTTTTTAGAGAGCCTCGATCAGAAAAACAGCTGCAAATTAAAAACTTTTTTTTAATCTAATAAATATAAAGTGCATTTGTTTGTTTGCATTTTAAGAATGGCAAAATAAAATGAGTTTCAAAAATATTTTTCAAAGGCTTGATTGTCTATGGAGCCAAAAACATGATTGTTGTATTTGTTTTAAATTGCTGATTATTAGAAACCTAACAGTAGGATGAAATGCAAGCAACTGGTAAAATTTCTTAGAACGGGACTTTACTAACCTGGGCACATATAATACTGAATTTCATTTGTACTAGTTTAGAATTGCAAAAATAAACTTTTCCCCCCTGAGTTTAATTTAAATAGAAAAAAATTTCATGGCCTTCACCATCTGAGTTAACAGCTTGAAATGCTAAATTTGATGTTATTTGCTCAATAATAGGAAAGTCAACATACATTTTTTTAAGCATCTATTGTGATATTAGGTTTATAAACACAGTTCGGATAAGTTATGGTACCTTTCCTCAAGAATCTAACAGTCTCTCAATTAGAGTGATAAAATAAATACAAATAACTATAATCCTCTAACCTATTTTAGTAAATTCAATTTAATAAATCTCTATTAAGCATCTATCATTTGCCCTTGCATTGTGCTAGGCACTGGGGATGCACAGACAAGAATACAACAGTGCTGGCTTTTATGGAGCTTATATTCATTCTCTTGAAGGGAAAAGAGAATGGTGTTTATGTATACATAAGAAGATAATTATTTGGGGAGGGAGAGATCATTAATTTTAGGGGGAGAGATGGGGCAGAGATTGGAGAAGACATCAAAAATATAACTATATTGAATCTTAAAGAAAGATAAGGATTCTGAGATCTAGAGATGAGTAAAGAGTAAAATACAGGCATAAGGAATGATCTATGAGAATATATACTGGGAAATGTCTTAGACGCAAGGCTGTTTCCATTTTATCTTAGAAGTAATGGGGAGTCACTCAAGGTTTTTCACCAGGTAAGTGGTCAGAGCTATCTATCCCTGCAAAGGATTATTTTGGCAGCTGTGTGAAGAATGGATTAGAGAGGGTACAGCAATTTTAGGAGACTTTTGATAGTCCAGGTAGAAGTTGATGAGGCAATGACCTAGAGTGGTAGTCCTGTGAATGGATGCTGTTGAGACAGAGATAAATGGAAGACATGAGAAGGATTTAGTGACTAGAATGGAAACACTTAAGTTTGGGAAAAGGATGGGCCTCCAGCTTCATGTTACACATGTTGAATTTGGGATTTCTACAGAAGATACAGAAGAATATATACAGGAGGTAGATGATGATAGACTAGGGTCACACACACACACACACACACACAGTGTGAGAGTGTGTGTTTTTTGTGTGTGTGTGTGTGTGTGTGTGTGTGTATAACAGTCATTGTGTAGAGATGCTACCTATGTGAAAAGCTAAAATTACCAACAAGGTAGAGAAAGAAGAAAGAGAAGAAATAAGACCCTAGGACACACTGATGCTAACAGGACAGGAGATAAGCATCAAAGAATACAAGGGAAGAGAGGATAATTAAGAATGTTAAAATTTCATAAAATTCATAAGATTATGAAGTTTGAGGAAAAAACCATTTAAGAGATTGGGCAACCTTGGAGATAGCAATTTCAGGACAACTCTGGAAAGCACATTACAGTTACAAAATAAAGTGCTAGGGGAAGTAAGGGCAGCAGCATTTAAGCTGTGATTTAGAAAAGCAAAGGAGTGAATTCCAGGCACAGGAAACAATCTAAGTAAAGGCACAAAGATTTGAGAAACCAGTGCATGTTCAAGAGACAGAAAACTGTCTAATTTGGCTAGAGCGTAGAGTATATGGAAGAGAACTACTTGATACGTTGATGGAAAGGTAAGAGAGCACCAGAATGTGGAAGGCCTTAAAAAGAGAGGGAGTTATTCAAAATTGTTGAACAGAAGAGACATGGCCAGATCTATGTAAAAGAAAGACCATTGTGGAAGCCGAATGAAGGCCAGGTTGACAGGATAGAGTATTAAGACACTGGTCTCAGAATGTAAGTTCTGCCTCTGCCACTAATTCTCTACAGAAGCTTAGCAAAGGCACCACCTCTGTGGGCTTTGAAGGAATGGGTTGGAATTAGATGACCTCGTTAAGGGCTCTTCTCATTGTAAGATGCTATGACAAACAGTTAATATGACCACTGACTATGTGACTTTTTAAACTACATTGTACAGAGAGACATTATGAACTTCCCTGTTTTATTAACCACTATGTTTCAAGAAAGGTACATATCTAAGTCAGACTCAGTACTTCTGAGTTTTTATACAATAGCTCAGAAAGGTTTGGCAAAGACAAGTACTATGTTTAGCCAATAATAAATGGAGACTGGAGCTCAAATGGAGCTCTCCAAGGTACAAGAGTCTCAGAACGTCTACAAAGACTAGTATACTCCAGTTCTAGTCAGCCTTCCCCAGGGAAAAAAATTGCTTTAACTTGGACATAAGATCTCCCTCAAGATCCCTGCCCCATACCAAAGCAAATTTCCTACAACCTTTGATGGAAAATCTTTTCCTGGCAACAGTTTTCCTTTATGCACTGTGGGAAACTATTTTCCTGCCTAACACTGAACTTCTTTTTCAGAACTTTTTGTTTTAAATTTTAAGAAAGAAGAGCTCGGGCAGTAGAGTCTTGTGGAGATTCTCCTATTTGATGGTACCCAATAGAAATAAAATCTATAGTTCAATTCCTATAAACTGTTTTGAGTCACAGACAAAACTTTTGAAGATCTCTATTCTGATTGTTTTATTTTTTATTCTGACACTTGAAACCTAACAAATGACAGGCTTTAACAATATTACTTGAAAATAGGAATTTGAGGGACTAATTCTTATTGTAGAAAGTCTGAAGGATTGTTTCTTATAATTTAAAATCTAGCATTTACTGCTTCTGCTACTGATGGCATCTGACTCTTGTTAGATTAACAAGCAACATTAATACTAACACCTTACAATTCATGATCATTCAACAAAATAACCATTCATCTAATTCCAAGTTACTAATCTGTTATCTTTAAGTAATAAATCAAGACATACCTTTCAGTTGTAAATGTAAAACCAATGAATGGCAAATGTAATCCAGAGAAGCCAGTATGAGAGCCAGGAGGTACTATTTCCTGGGGGGTAAAAAACAAAAACAAAAACAACCACACATAACTACACATAAAAAAAAATTGTTCAAATGAAACAAGAAAAAAAAACCACATAACACAATGTACTGGGGGTGGGAGGAGACCCTGTATTTTTGGTTCCTACTTTGCATATCTTAAGAAATGCATAACTTTATATAATAATTGTGAGATGTTTAGATGAGGAGGAAAAAGACTTTCTAGGATATAAGAAAAGGGCAATTCAATCATTGGATTTCTCCACTTGGCTCACAGGATTTCAGGTGGAAAGTATCTTAGAGTTTATCTCATCCAATTCCTTCATTTTACAGATAAGGAAACTAAGGCAACTAAGTGGCACAGTGGATAGAGCACTGAGCCTACAGTTAGGAAGAACTGAGTTCAAATCCAGATTCAGACACTTACTAGCTATGTGATTCTGGGCAAGTAATTTAATCTCTAGTTGCCTCACTTTCCTCATCTGTAAAGTGGAGATAAAAATAGCACCTACTCCCAAGGTTGTTGTGAAAATCAAATGAGATATGTGTAAGGCACCTTGAAAACCTTAAAGTGCTATATAAGTGTTAGCTATTATTGTTATTCTTAAGGCATATAGGGGGAAGTCACTAGCCCACAATCACAAGGGTAATAAATACCATCACTCTTTGATTAATATTAGGCCATATGAAATCATGTAACAATCTGATACACTTAAAATTTATATGACTGCTTATTTTTGTAAAAAATATATGTTGTGAGACATCTGCAACTCAATTCTAAACACATGCTGTGTTTTGTATAAGCAGCTCTGAAAACTTAACTGGGGGGGGGCTCCCCCATTCCTAGTTAAATAAGTGTCACTTAGAGAGTGAGCCACTAAGGAAATGTCAACTACTCAAGAGGCATTTACTTCTTATGTAAGTACTTAATATAATGTACTAAGTGTTAAAATGTGTGAGTGTTAAAGATAAGGTGGAAGATAAAAGCCTATGTTCTCATAAAACATTAAACTGAACAATTAAGTTGAATTCATAATCATAAGTATAAGCCAGCTTAAGAGATAAAAGGAATGTTTTTAGCCTAAAATTAGATAAACTGCAAGTCTGGTTAGAAAATCTGGGATTTGGTCTACTTTAATTCTATTATTTAAAGGGTAATATAGTAGATTCTTTAAGCTTTGGTAAAGAGAAGGATAACAAAGAAATCAAATCTCACAATGTAAAATACTTTTTATAGTCTCAGAAAAACAGCATCAGCATTAGTCCTATTTTTGTTCTTTCTTTTCCATATGCCATGATATGGACATTTCCATTAGTACTGAACTCATTACTTAAAATTAACTAAAATATCATACAATTAAAATTAGGAGAGAATAAATTTATATAAATGAAGGAAATGAGAGTGGAACTGAGACTGAGACTGGGACTGAAACTGGGCATTCTCACTAGATGGGGCAGATTTTTAGATAAATAACTAATCTTTTCACTGAACCAAAAAGAGAGTACTCGGTCACATTCTTCTAAAGAGTTATCTATCACTCCCTGAAGGTAGTGGAAAGAGGTACTGAATTTGGAGTCAGAGAAACTCTGTTCGAATCTTGGTGTTATTTGCTACCTATTCAATTTTCGGTGAGTTAAGTAACCTGTAGCTGAGCTTCCTCATCTGTAAACAAAGAGGTTGGACCAGATAACCTCTAAAGCTCCTTCTAGTTATAAAGATGCTATGATGTCAGGCAAAGACTTTTTCCGAAAGGCCATAAGAACAAAAACCAAATAGCCCATTAATTACTTCAAGAAGCAGAATTACTTTTTAGAAGAATTACTTTTGGGAAGGCATGTTGATTTAACTGAACTTCAATTATTTTACTTCTAAACTACATCATTTGTTTTGGGCTGAGAATAGGGGTAATATGGGAATAGAATAATTTGCTCTATTATAGAAAAAAATGCCATTGTAGAGGCTGTAAAGTCCGATGAATCAAATTAAACTTAATCATACAAAACAGAATTTCTATCAGACCACAGTAAACAAATTACAGAACCAAAAACCAAATACATGTCTCTGAAATTCAATGACAAAAATTAGTCTATAGATTATTGTTTTATGTTTCTTGGCTTTTCCTTATATATACAAAACATTCTATACATTGCAAATACAGTAAATGTGGAAATCTAGGAAGGTGCATTAGACTGTCCTGTTTGTTGACTACAGGCGACCGAATTAGACCAGAAACCAGAACTAGGTGCTATAATGGCTGACTTAATCTATATGGTACTTAATCCTAATAATCCTAATAAAAAATAATAAATCCTAATAAAAAAAACTGCAACATAAGTAGGTCGCTTGAATCCTTGCCATCATTAACAGATCACTTGAGATTTACCTCAGCATCTTTATCTACAAAACAGGGAAAGCGTTACCTGCCTCAAGGACTTTAACCTAATTGTTATGAACCTTCAATTCAAAGAGGCAATCTCAGAACTCAGAAAGTCAAAGTCCCAAATTAACCTGAATTCAGTCTGAAATTTAGTGTTCCTCACATCCTTTTGTGTCCATTCTCTTAACCACCCTTGTTTTCAATTCCTATACCTGTCTTCTTTAAAATCTGCGTCTGCTGATGAGTTCTCTGAGCATTCCTGTGTCAAGTACACTCTTTTTCCCCCTCATCAGAATTGTTTCTTTTTCTTTTTCCTGTTTTGGACTTCAAAACCAGGTTTCTGCCACTGTCTCATCCTACAACATCCCTCAATGTCTGGGGGGCTCCTTGCCCTGTAACACCCCTCTGGCCCCTTCTCCCATTGGTGAATTCCTCCAGTGGCCTCCATTTTGTGGAGGAGCACAGGCTGGTCTTTATTCCCTTACTTGCCTTACTCCTAGTCTCTGAACTTTAAAACTATGCCTGACTACTTTTATCTCCTACCCTTCCAACTTAGCTTCCCAGCTTTTCAGCTCCCTCTGGTGGAGGGCAAGGACTTTCTTTTTGGTTCTATCTGTATTCCTGGGACTTAGCTAGTGCTAAGTTAAGCACTTAATAAATGCTTAGTTTCTTCCCTTCCTTCCTCCTGGGTTGACTTTTACCTATAGAATTTTTAGCACATGCATGCTTCCTAACTCAAGTTTCTCTCCATTCTCTGAAATCTGTTCTTCCCAAATCTAGGACATATGACAGACTTATCCCCTCTTATAAACTCTAACACAGAGTGTTCACTGTCCTTCTCTATTACTCCCAAGATCATTATCATTTCCACCTCAACAATCAATTATTCCTTACATCTCCATTTTAAATAACATTAGCGTTTGGTTTTAGCTCAGAGGCAGAGTTCTACCAGAAGGATGGACAAATAATATCCCTTATCAAGCTTCTGTGCCAGGTATTTGATATTTCCCAAGCCCATTTATTTCCTCACTTTATTTCCAGAGAGCCTGCAGTATGCTCCAAAGACAGTATTACCTCTATCTCTATTTCCACTGATCTTTACTCTTCTGCCCACCATACTTCCCCACCCTGGTTCCTGGATTTCTTCAGATGAGTATTTTTTCAATCTTTAACACTAGTAAGCTCATCTCCTATCTATCCTATCCTATTCCTTTGAAATAAGGTATACCCCACCAAAGTCATAATGAACTCATAAGCAGGTTCTGACAAGTCTCAGTGACACATATGATGGCAAATATGCCTTCTTGCATTAGCATCTAGCTCCCCCTGACTGTTAGCCACATATTGTGCAGTTTTTGTATAAATATTTGAGCTACTTATTTTTACTGCTGGCTTGTTTCTTGGAAACCTGTGAATTTCTGGTCATCTCTATAGCTACGGGCTCTACATTGCAGCTGTTCTCTACGGCATATAGTATGGCTGAAATGTAGGCAACTTTCTACCTCCCCCAAACATATTTTTACCAGCCCTTGTTAGCACACAACATGCGTGGCCATTCCTATATTATAATTTATGGTTCAAAACTTCCCAGTCATTCCCAGTACCCAACTTCTTAACCAACTGTTTACTTCCCAAAACTGCCTTTCTTTTTTTTGAAGCCCTTATGACCCCTCCTCATGACCAGTAAGCATAAAAAGACAAGTTTAAGTGATCTCTTCACTGCTAATGACTTTTCTTAATACCCATCCTCCTTAACTGCTCTACCATTTCTAACATGTCTTCCTCCTAGATGATTTTCCTCTCTTGCCTTCTATGACATTTTTCTCTTTTGCTTTTCCTGATGACCACTCTTTTCTCAGTCTCTTTGTTGAATTATCATCTATATGCTTTCTCATCAAAACTCACATTAAACCAAAGGCCATTATTTCTATGGAGTATACTAGTTCTTTCCCAAGTTCATAACCTCTGAATCACCCTTAATTTTCCCTTCCTTTAATTCCCCACATCCCATCAATTGTCAACCTTGTCAATTCTACCTCTCCATTTCTCACATCAGTACCCTTCTTTACCATTATGTAGCCTCTACTGTTTAAGACCTCAATATCTTTCACCTGTAGTTGACTCTATGTTGATCTCTGTTTCCAGTCTCTCCTTTCTTTGACCCATTTTCTATAAGGTTCCAAAATATTTTACTAAGGCATAGGTCTGACCATGTTAATCCCTTGCTCAAAGACCTTGAACAACTCCCATTTTCTCTAGGATAAATAAACTTTTAGGCAAAGCATTTAAGGACCTCCACATTATCATTCCTAGCCACTTTCCTGTCCTTATTCCACAGGACTAACCTTCACAAACTCTACATGTCAGCCAAAGGAGGGTATTCGCTCTTCTCTAAACTTCACACTCCATTTCCTGTCTCTATGAATTCTCTTATGCTGTCCTCAAATCCGGAATGCACTTTCTTCTCATGTCTACTACTAGAATTCTTGTTTTCCATCAAGGTTAAACTCAGGAGCTAACACTTTAGTTTAACACTTTTCCTGATTCCCCTGTACTGAAGCTTTCTTCCTCCCCAATTTCCCTTTTACCATCCTTATTTGTATACATCTTATATCCCTCACCAACACCCAAGTAAAACATGAGCTCCCTGAAGGCAAGGGCTTTGATGCTATCTCTGCATCCCCAGAAGCCAGTACAGTACTTTGCACATAGTAGTCTCCTCATAAATATTTGTCAAATTGAGTTGACACTATTCTTAAAGGGCCATGTCATGTTTGTGTAGTCATTGTGTTATCTATTCTTAATGATATCTTCTGTAACTTTAAAAAAAATCTGTTTGTCTATAACGGAACTTCCGACTAAAATTTAAACAGGACCTTCAGATTTATTAAATGTTTTCCTCAAAACTGATCTGTGAAGTAATCATCCACAATCTAATGATGAGGAAAGTAACAGTTCTCAGGTGATGGAGCAGGAATATGTATAAATACATAAACTTACTTTGAAAAGGAAAAAAGCATACAAATACAAGACATTATTTTGCATAGATAATCAAATACAAAAGTATTTCAGGCTGGCTACCATACAAAATACAATTGAGATTCTTAAGACCATGATATCAGAGAAAGTACAAAGGGCAAGTTGCTCAAAATTTCACAAGTGACAAAATTTATCTTTGGAAACCAATTGCTAAAAAATAAACTGGAAATAAAATAGCATGTATTTCTCATGTGAAGCTATAATAATAAGCAATAAAGCAGTGTTTTGATGCTTACCGGATTTCTTAACACATCATCATCTACATCAAAATTTGACGTATCTGAAGGACTGCTAACATCTGGAATATAAGGCGCTTCTAGATTTCGTATGTCTTCCCAATTTATTCCTTCAAAAAATGCATGCCTTTTGAAATCTTCTATTCCATTCTGTCCTAGTCGGCGCTCTCTACTACAGATGAGTCTTTGAATGAGGTCTTTTGCCTCTTCAGATACATCTGTGACATGAGAAGGAAACTGAAATCGCTCCTACAAAAAAGATCAAGTTCAACATTTATTCAGATATATGTAGATATATATATTGAAAGGAATGCCAAATTTTATGAAAAACTAAGTAGTAGACAACAGTAATCAAAATGGCAATTGTAGTTGAAAAGAGGCCAACAGTCATTTTGGAATGGTAACTAAACACCATCCCAGACTAATAAAATTATAAAACCAGAAAGACGAAGAAGAGAATTTTCAGACTTATTTGTTATCTAATTGGAAAAATGTAACTTGCTGTATTGTGGGTCAGGTAGAAAAGCATCACTTAAAATCAATATATAGCCTTCTCTTTTTCATCTACTGAGACCCCTTCTTAGGTGTCTAAATTTTCTGTAAAATACCATGTTGTGGGAAGTTAGGTCATTTTAGGAAGAGGATAGTGATAGTCTATAACACATACTTCTTTTGGTTTTTATTTGTGGGAGATGGAGCAATATTGTTGTCATGAAATGATGTTGGTATTTGAAAAGTATGGGCTTTTCGAAGATAATGAGAAGGAAAATAAAGGAGAAATCAAAAGGCAAGATGGGAGGAAAAGAAGAGGTGAAAGAAAAGGCTGAAAAGGGGAAAAAGAATGAGAACTTTACTATTTAACTTACTAACTTCTACTAAACTTTACTATTTACTATTTAACTTGACTATTTGTGAGAATCTAAAAGACTTAAATCTTAGCATTTGAGTCTGACAGAAAGGCCAAGTCTACTAGGGAAGTCAGTACTTTTGTACAGTTGCTTAAGTTTAACCTGGCATGTGTTATTTCAATATTTATTGAGTCTATGAGACCCAAAAAGGACACTCAGAGACTACCTAATTACCTGGAGGTAGAAGGAGTTAAGTAACCAGGAAAAATATACAGAAACAGCTCCTCGTTGTACTAAGCTTAAATACTCCAAAAATGAAAACGTTAATCTAATGATTTAAAAGTCAAATATTCAGACAATTTACTTTTCATTAACAAAAAAAGTAAAGAATGTGTATTATCTATTTGTTCAATATTTACTGAACCTTAGAGGACACAGAAAACTTTCTATATATTTACTTTGGATTACTTAAGTTTAGCACTCTGCATCCTGAAACATATAAGAACCCAAATCTTCTTTGTACCATTTCCATTTCCTCATGCCCACTGTGCCTTTTGTACAAAGTAGGTAAAGATCAATTACACAACTTACTAATGGTTTAAAAAGGGAAAGAAATTCTAGAGGACAAAGAAATCCTCTCTGACCCTGGCTTCTCTTTCCCTCTTCCTAAAGTAGGCTCAGCTTTAGAAGAGGGGCTGGACATATTTTTCAATAAAGGGTAAGGAAGCTATTTTGGAAAGTTGTGCCCTTTTGTGGGGGTGAGGGGTAGAGAAGAGGGAGAGATGCAAAGTGAAAGGGAGAGATGAAGGGACCCAGAGTTAAACCTTACCAAGAGTTTATGAGTACTCATAACTTTATATCTTAAAAATCATTGCTGTATTCAAACATATCATGTAACAGCTGATTTAAATGACAGCCACAGCCAAACACTACTCACAAAAGGGTGACTTGACTAAACTGAATCACTGATCTATAACTTAAAGTTTCAGCAATTCGTAATAATTTTCTATCAGATACTTCTTGCCATAGAGAATAGTTACCTATGCTTCCCTCACTTGCTACAAAAATGGAAAGAATACACATGATAAAAGACTCAGGTTTTGCTCTCTAGACTCAAAACCTTAAAAATGCAACATTCCAAAAGTAATTTCGGATAGCATTTCAGATCAAAATACATATCCCAGAGCCAGTATTTTTAATCATATGTAGATTTTCAATTCTAAATCCTAGGCATTTTTAAAAGTAGTTTGACAAGGTTTTTTTTGTCATACCACAAGATAATCTCTAGGTTCATTAAATTTCATTGGTGGGAATGCTTTGGTTTTTTGGGGTTTTTTTTTTTTTGGCTATTGAAATATTGTGGCAGCTAGGTGGCGCAATGAATAGAGCTCTGGCCTTGGAGTCAGGAGGACCTGAATTCAAATCCAGACTCAGACACTTAACACTTACTAGCTGTGTGACCATGGGCAAGTCACTTAACCCCAATCGCGGGCGGAAGGAAGGAAGGAAGGAAGGAAGGAAGGAAGGAAGGAAGGAAGGAAGGAAGGAATTGATTAAGCATATAATATTTGAAGGTCAATTATCTTTCATTCATATAATTTACAAGTCCAGCTTTTCATAAATTGTACTAAAATTATGAAAGCTGTTTTTCCAATTTTGTTTGTTTATTTGTTTGTTTAAGGCAATTGGGGTTAAGTGACTTGCCCAGGGTCACACAGCTACAGTCAAGTGTTTGGTCTGAGGCCGGATTTGAACTCAGGTCCTCCTGACTTCAGGGCTGGTGCTCTATCCACTGCACCACCTAGCTGCCCCTCCAATTATATTTATTGTAAAATTTTTAGATCAAGTATTTCTAATAGTGTTAATAGAGAATACAGTCAAATTTTTAACACATCAATTCAGTCACTCAAGAGATAAAAGTATAAACTTTTCATTTTACAAATCAATAGTTCAACTGAGAGGTTAGATGAAATTTGTTATAAGAAATCTGATCAGAAATTAAAATTCCAAACATTGACCATTACCACTATTTACCATTTTTTAAAAAATCAAACACAATCATAAAATGTATTTTTCTTACAACTTTAGAGCTGAAAATACCCATATTATATATCCAAATTTCTCAAAAACAATGTCTATAAGTGTCTTATATACACTAAATAAGTTTATTTCAAGAAAAACTTAAGAATACATAACTTTAAAATGTGATAATTATATACTTAAGAAATCTTGTCTTAATAGCCTATTTTTTTGAAATGAGCTATACTCTACAGAAAACAGTAATCCTTTGATAAAGTTAGGACACTTTAGGAACTGCCACTGTTTGTGGCCACTAGGGTACCATTTTATAAACTGTGGCATGATCTCATTTTACATATGCGTGCTCCTAAAAAAACTGTGTGAAGTGAAGAGTTGTATTTATTTATTCATCTTTTCCCACTGTCTTTCCTTATAATTTTAGAGATGCCTTCTCACAGAAAACAAAAAAATACTGATATTACACTTAAAAAAACAAACACAATGACTTCAAAGGTCCTTTGTCAAAGCTTCTAAATGTATTTTGTAGTTCCACTTAACTCCTCCTTACAACAAATAAGATAGATAATTGATCCTCATGATATTTGCATACTCATTAAATATTAAATTAAAAATTTTTTAAATTAAATACTTAAGTATATAATAATTAATTCCATTTCAATAGGTAATCTGATTCTATAGAAGCTGAATGTTTAAAAACCTATATTAGCTATGACACTGCTTAAAGCATTTTAAATTTTAAATGGTAGTGAGATTTTTTTTTGGATGGAGGTCAGATAATGCAAATCTTAATGAGTTGAACTCTAACAATAAATGGTTTACTATCCTTTAAGTGTAAAAAATGAAAATTACCTCAATATGTTTGCTGACAAACAAAAGGGTTCTTAAGTACCTCTTACCTGAATGACCCAATAAGGCCTCTCTGAAGATGTTTTTGCATCATTCCTCAGAGTCTAAATGCTTTAGCAGAACTTGAAATGAGCAACGAAAGACATTAAATGAATTGGGTCACTGCACTGCTTTAATTTTGTATATCTGATGATGTATTAAACGAACGTGTATACAGTAATACTGACCAATAAAATATAGCAAATGGAATGCCAGGAGTCTGAAGCAATTACCATGTTATTCTTAAATTCCCTAACTTGGATCCAAAAGAGATTGGCCCTAATAACTGACATATAATATAGCATACAGATCAAGTCAGGAGAAGAAAGCTCTTCATCCCAATTAACATATATACTTAGCAACTCATACCACTAAAACTCTAAAAGTAGCACTGATGTAGGTGAAATTATATTATTTTACACATACAAAGGAACAAATACTACTTATTTAGAAATGTTATTTCTTACTTCATGATTCATGATCTTTCCATAGGTTTCCACTAATGATTCTGCATAAAAAGGCGTTTCACCATATAGCATTTCATACATGCAAACACCTAGAGACCACCAATCACATTCTGGGCCATATTTTCCCATTCCATCCTCCATTGCTTGTAGAATCTCAGGTGAAATGTAGTCAGGTGTACCCACTGCCACAGAAGATTGGACCTTGGGGAAAGAAAACAAAAGATTTTAAATTAAACCTTAGAAATCCATCAATTTCTCAATATTTCTAGTCATTTAAGTTTCTCTGAGGTTCACTTTTCTCATCTATAAAACTGGAATAATACATGCACAACATTCCTTACAGTTATTTTGAGAAATAACACCTTATAAGTTGAAAAGTTCTACAGAAACATAAGCTTTATTATTAATTCTTCCAATAAAATTTTGCTACTTTTAAAAAATAATTATAAAGAAAAAAGGAATAATCATAGAAGAAATGTTAAGCCCAGTATGAATAAGCAAAGTTCAATTCAAGAGATAAATTTTAAACAGCCAGATTATGTATATCTATCTATAATATTTTTAAAACCTTACAATATAAAATTAAATACTGATTCCATGTTAGGACAGCTGTCTTCAAACATCTGAAAGTATTATAATTGTTCTGCTTGATTCCAGAGCAGAAAACTAGGAACAATGGTTAGGAGTTACATTTCATATCAATATGTACTCCCTTGTCCCACTCCCACGAAAGGCTTCCTAATAATCAACACGGTCCAAAAATGTGATGTGGTTTTCTCAGGACACTATGAGTCCCCACAACTTAAGCTTTTCAGTGGAGATAATGATGACTTAGGTCAATGGTAGGAGGAGTCCCTAGAGGAGTAAGTGCTGTATGAGATAATCCCTGAATGCCCTTTCCACTCTGTATTTTTGCTTCTCAGAAGTGTCTTAAGTTAAGGAAGAAATACGTCTATATCATGACATTAGAAGATATGACCATACTGATCTTCCACACTACACTAGTTTCTGTATTGCAAAATTTAATTTAAGGTAAGTCTTGGGTTTTGCTTGCTGAAGTAACAGACTATTTCAACATAAGAGGACTCATTCAAAGCAATCAGTCCCCAAGACATACACTTCAAGTACATTATTATTTGAAGGTTGTGAATACACTGAAAAATCTCTAGTTGCATTAGAGTACTCTTTTCACCAACAATCTTTCTACCCTTTAGTAGAAAACTTTCATTGCTATATCCAAACAATTTCATCACTTGGCTAACCTACTGAAATGTATAGCAAGACATTTAATGTTAACATGCAATTCTACAAACTTTATCTCTAAGTTTTACTATCTTGAAAAGATTTATTACAAAGTAAATTGGTAAAAGAACATTCTTCTTTAGTTCATTATTTCCCAAAAACATAGGTGATGACCAATGGTCCCTTAATTATAAGTTTTAATTAGATGGCCATGAGAAAAAAAATTATGCAATGCAGAGTTCAGTTTTATTTAATTACATATCCCTAATGTTAATACTGACACATTTTATGATATTCAGTTATCATCTGTAAGTGATTTATGTAGATGATTACAATTTGTATCACCTCTAATGTATTTCTGAGATCTGTGCTTGAGGTGTGGGGGAGACTAAATCGGAGCAAGAAACTGCTCTAAGTATCTCTGAAAAGCTCAAAATCCACATCTCAGGGCAATTCAGGTAGCTAATACTCCCACCTTTTTTTTGGCAGGGGACACCTGTGGCCTAGGTGTTTAGAGGCTACACGCTATCACATCCAGTTCTAGGGCTTCAGAGGGAAACACAGAAAGGAAGCAACCATTGCTCCACTTGTTCTTCCCTTAGTAGCTTTCTGTCTCAAAACTGACACCAAGATTGCCTGGATTTGATCTTAGGCAGATGATGGTGGTGCTGGTGCCCCCCTCTTAATGCCAGGCAGCCCTGGGACCAACGTCTGTGTTATTTGAAAGAGCATGAAATCTGGAATCAGCCAAAGCCACTTAAGCCAAATACCACTTAACTAGATGTGTGAATGTGGCAAGTTATTTAACTTCTGTGGCCCTCAATTGTATGGAAGTGTCAGAATGGGGACAGCAAATTATACAATGAGCTTTTATTAAGTGCTCACTATGCGTCAGGATAACATACATACCATAGTACTATTTTAAAAATTAAATTAAAATGTTATAAAATATTTTGAAATTATAAAATAAATATGGTACTATAGAGGCAGCGGTAGGGCATATTGTAAAGAGCCCTGGGTTTGCAGTCAGAAGACTTGGGTTCAAATCTCAGCTTTACTAATCAGTAACTGTGTGAATTTGAATAAGTAATTCTCTCTCTCTCTTGGTTTGCCCTAGATGATCCACCTGGTCCTTAATGCTAGGATCTATGACCTATAATCTGGAGCTATTTCTACCTATCAGCTCAGGATTTTTGTAAAGCATTAGCTGCAGGCAAACCGAGAGAATCAGGAAGTCCAGTCCCTTTAGGTGCCCTTGGTTATAGGTCTATTATGGGATAAGAGGGACTAATCATTCACACCTCTATAACCAAAAAGTATTATACAAAATGTGTGTATAAAACATCAGACGGTACGATACAACAGAAAACAAGTGCCAGACATGGAGTCAGGAAAGTCTTAAATTCAAATTTTACCCTTGAAAGTTACAAGTGACGTGCCTAGGATAAACTTTACCTTCTTCAACATATCAATGAGAACAGTGGTAATTGTAACACTTATTTTACAGAACTGTTGTGCGGATCCAGTAAGTGTGTAAAAGTGCTTGGTAAACACTGAAAAGTCGCATGAATGTCTTTTATTATTTTAACTTTAAAGTAGTCTGAATTAAATTTAATCAGACTGATTTCCTATCTGAGATACAACGGGTGAATAGGAACCTTGACTGGGAAAGCAAAGAAGTCAAAAGCAATTTTGGAACTTAAGTCAGTCAGTCAATAAACTTCTGTTCAGTTCTTACTGTATCAGGCACCGCATTCTGTGCTAGGTCCCTGAGGGAGGCCAGGCCTGGGGAGGGCTTTGGACAACCATAGGACAAGAAAGGACAAGAGCATTGAGCTCAGGGGGCACTCAGATCTGGCACTATGCTATATTAGATAGGGTGCTAGACTTAAGAGTTAGGAAGACCCGAGTTCAAACACGCCTCCAGTACTTACTAGGTGTGTGAGTCTGGGCAAGTCCCTTCACCTCCATGGGCCTCAGTGTCTTCATATATAAAATGAAGGGGGTGGACTAGTTGCTAAGTGATTTGTCCAGGCCAATGTGTCAGGGGCAGGACTTGAATCCAGGCCTTCCTAACTCTGGCCAGCTCTCTATCCACTATGCCACACTGCCTCTAATAATAACAAGAACAATTATTAAAACAATAAGATATAGTAAAACTCTGTGTGCAATATGCCAAAGTGCTTCTAGTTTTATGTAAACTGAGCTTTCCTACTTTTTTCATGATGCATAAATTTTAAAAGGGTAACCTGGCAAGAATGAGTTGGTTGAAGGATTAAGTTCTGTTTAACAGTAATGACCTAAATTTTTAGTAGGGACTCAAGATGACATCAAATAAAGTGAAAATATTGTAGAGAAATCACTAACAATATCTACTGACAATTTAGTTAAACATTAAAAAATTTCCACATGACAATATGATTTTTAGGCAAAAGCAGAACACTATTCATTAATAACAGAATTTGAACCTACATCTTCCTGACACTAGGCCTGGTACTCTATCTGCTGCACCACCTAGTAATGAATTCTGCCTATAGTCACTAGGTTCCAGCGACATACCTTGGCCCTCACAGTCAATAGCTGTCAGAGGCAGGGCTTGAACCCAGATCATCCTGGCTCTGAGGTCAGTTCTCTATTCATTATACCACATTTTCTTTTAAATTATTACTACTTCTTCAATACTTCAAAGATTTGTAATCTCTATCAGTGCGTTTGCTCCTCCTACCAACACAAACTACAATCTTTCCATTTTAGTATATAGTCTTCATGAGTCACTATAACTAAAGAGCTCCTTATCCTTACACCAATATGGTCATGGAACAATAAACTTTAGTTAAATGGTCCACAGGTGACAGAATACAGTTTTTTAAAAATTAAGCTACTTCTTAAGTAAGAAACTCTAAGTAAGCATGTCTAAGTAAGTTACTGAAAAATAATATTTAATATAGTTTCGTGGTATCAAGATTTTTTTTATTTAAGGAAATTCTATGAATATTATGAGATGTCTAACAGTGTTCCCAGTAAGCATTACCTTTTCAATTACTAGAGTTTTAAAAAACATTCTGGTCAGCTGCTAGTGCTAAGTAAAATGTTTATTTCTGATCATACTGATAACATTTCCTCAAAAAATAATCATTTACATTACAAAATTTAAGACCAAGGAAAAACCCCAAAGTGGAAAAATCCCCAAACTACATACAGTGCCATCGTCATTCATCTTCAAACATGATCCGAAGTCTGCCAAACGAATGTGACCATTCATATCCAAAAGAACATTGTCAGGTTTAATATCTCTGTCAGTTCACAAAAAAAAAGTTGAATGAATTAAATCCAATATAAGCAACATTAGGTCAAAGCCCTAATTTAGCATTAGATTTGTTGAGAAAATGTTAATGTGATTTAGTGAATAGTTACAATACAATAGTTATTATTATTCAAAGAAAAATGTTTCAGAACAATGATAAAGTCAGCCTGGTGTTTTGTTTTAACCAGTCAACAAAGAGAGAACACAAAAGAATTATGCAATATTCCATATTTTATATATTATTGTAATACTTCCAGCCTTACAAAATAACAATAGCTAGCATTTCTATGTTACAAAAAAATAGGATATCTATTTCACAAAAATTAATTCATTTTATCCTCACAACAATCCTGGGAGATTGATGCTGTTATTATCCTTGTTTTACAGATGAGGAAACTTAGGCAGAGGTTAAGTGACTTGCCAGGGTCACTCAGTGAGTAAATCTCAGAGGCTAGATTTATAATATCTGAGGACAGGGTCTTCCAGACAATAGGCCTGGTACTCTGGTACCAGCAATGAACATTAGGTTCCAGTACTTGCCCAGCTAGGCTCATACAGTCAGTATATATCAAAGGCAGAACTTGATCTAAGTCATCCTGGCTCTGAGATCAGCTTTCTATTTACTACACCACACTGACCCTCTTACTCTTTCAAAGAAAGGAGAAAATCTGTATTTATTAATATTTATTTAAACAAAGTAACTCCACACACAAATAGGATTTTCCTTAACAATACTCCTGTTTACACTATTCTGCAAAACACATTCCAATGATTTTTCTTTTAAAAAAAAAAAAGGTCAAAACAACTGTAGAAAGTAAATTTTATTTTCTAGGTGATTTCTTCCCAAAGGTTTTCTTCACCTTTTAAAAAATAATTAGTATAACATACCATCTCACATTTTAAAGATATACAGAAAACTTCTATCCAATGAGGCACATGACAACTTAACTAGGTGTTACATACCCCTGGAAAGAACATGTGCTGAGTCTAGTGGTATCTTCTGTTATGAAAAATTACCAAGGGATATTAAGATGAAATCACGCTACTAAGTCCACTACATATTTGTTATCTGATCTCACTGGGCCCTCATGGCAAACATTCTACGACTCACCTAATCACTTCATTATACTACTCTCTGCAGTAACTGTTCCAAACCTCACCTTTCCTCAAGTCTCACATACATTCTCTCACCCCAATTTCTTCAGATGTGAATTTCAGGATGTTTGCCTAGAGTTTACCCTCCTCATTTCACATCACTCAAGACATTTTCCCCTACTGTTTCCATTTCACTTTCAGATGAAGAGGTGGTCCTCCTTTACATTAACCCGTGATCCCATCCTCTCATATTTTTTTCCACTTAACTGTATTCAATATTTTTCCTACACTCTTGTATCTTCAATCTCTTCCTAACTAGAAGCTTCTCTTCTACCTACAAACATGTCCGCATCTCTCCTATCCTTAAAAAGCCCTCACATAACCCACACAGTCTTAACTCTCCCCACTAGCTATCATCCTGTATCTCTTCTGCCCTTCTCAGCTAAACTCCTTGAGAGTTTATATCCTACACTTAGTTCCTCCACTTCTTCTCTTACTCTAAACCTCTTGAATTTAGCTTGCAAACTCATTATTCAACTGAAATTGTTCTCTCCAAAGTTATTAATGATTTCTTAACTGTAAAATCTAATGACTTTTCCCGAATTCTCATCTCCCAATTCAGAGCATTTTCATTTGCTCTCCCCAACACCTACAATGCTCTTCTCACCTCTGGTTTCCTTTAAGACTCAGCCCAAATCCCACCTTTTGCAGGAGGCTTCTCCTGGTTCGCCCCTCCCTCCCTCAAGCTGCTAGTGCCAGTTAGCAAGATAACCTTCCATCTATTTTATATACACCTTGTATGTAACTAGTTCCTTATACATTGTTTTCCCCCTTATTAGAATATGAGTTCCTTGAGGGTATGGCCTGTTTTTGCCCTTTTTTGTCTCCCCAGCACTTAGCACAGTACCTGGCACAAAATAAGTGTTTTATAAATGCCCATTGTTTTTTAGACTGACATCTTGTACACTGTGCCCCTGCTCAGGCTACTTCTCACACCTGGAATATATATTCCCTCCCTCACCACCTCTCAACTTCCTTCAAGGTTCAGCTCAGACAGTGTTCCTGATTTCCCTAGTTGATTTCCCTTGTATTTACTTGTTTACATGCTATATCCCCCAGTGTTTCTTGAGGCCAGAGGCTTTTTCTTTTTTATCTTCACTTTATTTACTAAACCAAGCACAGCGCACACAGTAAACACTTAATAAATGCTTGTTGACTTAAATTATTGAATAAATATTGCTTTCTGTATCTCTACCACAGTAGTTTCTTTTTCCCTAAAGGAAATTAAGAAATGGTTTAGGATGATTACACAAAAGCCATCTGTGTGGGATCCTCAGTGTCCTGTTGTTGTTCAACATGTAGATAAAACCACTCTGAAATAAAATGAGCCAATCTGGGCTATAGGACTTAACAAAATGTTACTCATATTCAGTCATATGGTTCATTTACTTCTGTTCCTAGCAATATAATTTCTGAACTAAGATATTCATTTGTACTAAAATCTCAGTCTGCTGGCCTTTATAAACTTAAACACTTTTATGTTAAGATGTCAAGGTATTAAGCTGAGGAATGTGATGTTTTCAGAGATAATTTACCTCCAAATTCTTTAGGTTGAATATTAATGTTTGCTGGTGGATCCTAGGGCCAAACAGCATAAGATACAACCACTACAAATATGATAAATAATAAAAAGAATAAGAGAAACCTTTCTAATCATGATGGAAAAATGATAATTAATGGAATACTACTGGAGACAGCCAAACTTCTTTCTCTAGAGCAGGACTTTTTAAACTTTTTCCACTCATGATCCCCATATGGGGTTGCAACCCACAGTTAAAGAAGCACTGCAGAGCTTGTTTCTTATGCTTGTTTGTTTGCGTCGTGGTCCTACTGGGTGATGTCAAAGGTATTATGGCTTGATCCCACAGGGTATATGATCAACCAGAGGGTGGGAAAACAAGCTGCATCCCCGCCTCCTCATGATGCCCAATAGCGGAACTAGTCTCAAACACTACAACACCTCTTATCTCCCAACACTTCCCCACCTCTTCCTTCCCCTTGCTGCGCTTGCTTCCAAACTCCCCCCTTCTAAGTACAGCGATGGTCTCTCAGGGCAGAGACAATCTAAACTCTCAGAGCACTCACACTGCAGCAGCCACTGAGAAAATACACACCATCCTCACCCAGCTCCTCATCCCCTCACCAGCTTAGAATGCTAGCTCCTCACTCTGAGATAGTGACAATAAGAACACTTGCTTCTCCCTTTTACATTTTCAGTGGGACAGAGTGATTTATACATGATGAACAGGAATGGATGGGTTGTAGTCTATGAAACAGATTTTCTAACATTTTCTTTCTCACCAAACCCCAAAGATCTCTATTACAGTCAAGGGTACTACCATCCCTCCAAGTCACCCTGGGTTAAAAGTCTGGTGTTATCTTCAACTACTTACTCTCTCCTACCTCAAATATCCAATGAGTTACCAAATCCCATTACTTCTACCTCTACATCTCTCCTAAATATTCCCTTCTGTCTACTCACATAATCACCACCTGGTTTAGGCCTTCATCGCTTTCTCTTTCTTCATCACTTCTTGTTTGAAATATTGCAACAGACTCTGAAATGGTCTTTCCTGTCTTAGGTCTTTCTCTTCTCTGATTCACATTCCACACAGCTGCCAAAACGATTTTCCTAAAGCTTAGGACTCACCCGGCCACTTCCCTAATCAATAAACAAACTTCAGTGGTTCCCTACTGACTCTATAATCAAATATTATTTCATCTTTCCAACTTCATTTAAAATTTTATATTTATAATGTACATGATTATCAGTATAGAAGTAATGCATGTAATTTATAAACAAGTAAGCTTATTTAAACACATACATACATAAAGACATATTAGTGGTACGTGCTTAAAAACCTCTTACTGATAGAGACATAGTAACAAAAAAAGAATGGAAACCACTGCTTTCAGACAAGCCTAACAATGATGGTTACAGTCAAGTTGTTCTATGGAGCTAGAATACGAAATGGATGACCTCTGGAGTTATTTTCTACATTAGAAGCTCTTAATCTTTTTTTTTGTCGTGAATCCTTGTGGTAGTCTAGTAAAACCTGTCTCTTCTCAGAATAATGTGCTGCTTTTATAAAAAATACAGCTGAAAGAAATTCTAGATGAGTTAGAGATTAAGGAAAATAAAGATGTTTGTGTGTGTGCGCACGTGCACATATATATATATATATGTATGTATTTTTTTCCTATGCAAATTCACAAATCCTATGAAATCTATCCACAGGACCCCAGATTAAAAATTACTGTTCTAGACTTGCTATTCTAAGTATTCAAAGGGAGTGTTTTAACACATTACTTGCACAATCAATGAATTTATAATTAATTTGACAAGGTGTAGGACAAGGTATAGAAGTAAAAGCACTGGATTTGAAGTTTCAAAGCCTTGGCTCAAATCCTGGCTCTACCACTTAATGCCTTGGCAGCAGTCATTAACCTCCAAGCTTCAGTTTCCTTATCTGAAGAGCTACATGGCCTACCTTGAAGGGATGCAATGAGAGAAGAATTCTATAAATTCTAAAGTTCTCCAGAAATATTAGCTATTATTACCTGTAAAATGAAGAGATTGGTTTAGATCTCTAAGCTCCCTTCTGATTATAAAAAGGGCTGATCCTATGATCCTACCTGTGTACATAATGCAGCTGATGAATGGAGTGTATGGCCAGCACCATTTCACCGATGTAAAATCTTGCCATATCTTCAGGAAGTTTGTCTTCAAACTTACTGAGGAGTGTCAGTAAATCTCCACCAACATAGTAGTCCATTACCAAGTACTATAAATAAAGGTGGGAAAGAGGAAGGTGAATATTTCGTAATCACTGGTAAAGATGAATGACAAAAACTAAAATTCTTACTGTTGATCAGAAGGGAAAAGACTGCTTGAGGAAACAGTATATTGTAACAAGCATGGAATTGGCCATCCCTGAGTTATAATTGTTTTTCCCCCTTTAGATAATCTAATGCCATAAAACATTTTATTCTAATTTCCTTCTTAATTATTTATAATCAACTGAAAATTGGCAAACAAGGAGACAAAGAGAGTCAAGCTTTTTAAAGTACCAAAAGAAACCAGAATCATACCTTTGGTAATGCTACAGCAGTGAGAAACCTTGCAAGCAAAACATGAAAAATGTCCTAAGTTCAAAAACTTATATATAGACAGTTCTTGCTTTATGTAAGTGGACTATTCCACAGACTTCTACGTAAAGTGATTTTTATGTAATGCTAATTTGCCCTCAGCAGTGAGGAAGGAAGGGAGGGAAGAAGGGGGGCAGTACATGGTTGAAGGACATGTGGGGGCCCAGGACAGGGACAGAGAAGTAAGAACAGGAAGAGAAATAGGTGGGGCAGGGGCCAACCACAAAGGGGCCTGGCCAGAAGAAGAGGAAAAACACATGGGGGCAGGGGTACTGGTGGTGAGGGGGCGCAAAGACACAGACAGGAAAGGAAGACAAACATGTGAGGGGGAGAGATAGATGGTACCCTAGTGAAGATGGATAGAAGAGAGACACACAGGCAATGGATGTAGCAGGCAGGAGAGACAAAATTCAGTCAAACCAAACAAGACACCAAAAAAAAAATCTGACAATATTTTTAATATGCCACACCCACAAACCCCAGGCAAAGGAGCAAGGTGAGGTGTTTCTCATATCTTTTCTTTGGGGCTGAGTTTGTACTTTATAATTTACAAAAATAAATTTTGATTATTTTATGGTTGTTCTATTTACATTGTTGTAGTTGTATTAAATACACAGGATGTTCCAAAAGTCTTAGTTCAGTTTTAAGCTTTAATAACTTAAAGTTGACAGTTTAACGCTATTAAAGCTTAAAACTACACTAAGACTTTTGGGACACCCTGCATTATTTTCCTGGCTCTACTCATTTCACTTTGTGTAAGTTCATGTAAGTCATTCTGTGCTTCTCTCAGCACATAATGCTCATTATTTCTCACAGAATAATATTCCATTACATATTCATGTAATACAATTTATTTAGCTATTTCAATTGATGGATATCTACTTTGTTTTCAAAGTATTCAGAGGAAGGATAGATAAAACCCTAAGACCTATTCTAGAGAGAAAGACAGCCCAAGAAAGCACAATCAAAAATGATTTAGGTAAGGAGGAAAAAAGGTTTTTAAAAATACATGTATACAGGTGGCTAGGTGGCGCAGTGGATAGAGCACTAGCCTTGGAGTCAGGAGGACCTGAGCTCAAATCCAGCCTAACACGCACCAGCTGTGACTCTGGGCAAGTCACTTAACCCCAACTGCCTCACCAAAAAAATAAAAATATATATATATACACACACATATAGAAGATGAAAGTTAAAGAATAAGGAAGTGCAGCAACATCGTATAAGAATAGAATAAGAAACACAAAAGCAGCTGAGGCTAACAAGAAATAAGAAGACAACAAAAAGGCTTGGATGGTGGTTGTGGTTTTTTTTGTGAAAAGACAAAGAAGCTACAGCTGCTGTTCAGTTTGGACTGGGCAAAGATAACAGACAAAGAAAAAGACTGGCTGAGTGAAACTGGGGTAGGAGACTTGTGGAGGCTATTACCAAGATGTACCCATAGGAAACTCACTTCTTCTCTTTGAATCATGATATAGTAGGAAAAACTCTAGATTTGGAGCTTTCATCGAACCTGGGTTCAAGGTTACTACTTGAGTGACTTTGGGCCAGTCACTTCATCTGTCTGCTCCTTAGTTATCTCATTTTTAAAATGAATGGGTGGAGCTAAATGACCTTTAAAAGCCATCTAATCCAGCTCTAAATCTATGATCTTATTTTACATTATCTATCTCTTTAATTATCTAAAGAGTTATCAAATGGGAAAGGGATTAGCCTTCTTCTGCTTGGTCCCAGAGAGCAGACTGAGGTGCCATGCAGGGGAAGCAACACATTGGCAGATTTCAGCTTAAAATGTTATGATACTATTGCTGTTTCTCTGAATGGAAGTCTACGAAGAATGGATACCCCTCAAATTGGTGTCAGGCCAGATTAGATGTGTGAGAAGTAGCAAGATATACTACAGTGGTTCTTAAACTTTTTGACGTCAGGATCCCTTTACACTATTAAAAATTACTGAGAACCCCAAAAGTATTAGAAGAGTACACTGTTAAATCTTCGAGTCTGTAGCAAACTTGGGGAAAAAATTAGAATAGTACAATACCAAAGTTATAAGGATAAACAATTAAAATTATGCTTACAAAATAATGTTCAGCTGTGACCCAGGAAAGAAATGCAGGAATCTTTTCAGATTACTTCCTTAATAAATAATCCCAATGTGCTATACATCATCAGGAAAAATACTGAATATGAAAACCAGGGAGCTTCCCCTATGATCCCATTCCACTGACCATGTTCTAGCTTTACCTTCCCTCCCTTTAGATTCTTGACTTGATATAGTTAGCCCTTTTAATACTATTCCGAAAACCTTCAATGGCTGCCCACTGCTCACAGGATAAAACACAAATTTCTCTGCTGAACCTAAGGCCCTTCACAATCTGGCTCTAACCAACATTTCCAAATATATTTCACTTTACTCTTCTCTTCATGTCATAGGACCACAGACTGAGAGATGGAAAGGATTGTTTTGTTTATCTACTCTAGACTCTTCATTTTATAGCTGAGGACTGTCTTGCTTCCAAGGTCAGCCACTTTAGGAAGTACTAAGTAACAGAGTCAGAATATGAACCCAGGTCCTAATTCCAAATCCATTACTCTTTCCCAATGAATCATGCTGCCTCAATGTATTCTATGTTTCAGCCAAACAGAATTACCGTTCCCTGATCTGATCTTGTCCACTCCTGCCTCTGTATATTAGTTTAGGCCCTTACCCATGCCTGGGACATCTTCCCTCCATTTCTCTATCACTAACACCTTTAATGCCCACTTCATCTTAATTCAGAGAAAATTATATCTTCCTTCTCAAATTTTTTATAGCACAGTTTAGAATCTCAACTTTTCAATTATAACATTCTACCTTTTTATCATACTTATTTCTGTATGGGGATCTTATCCTCACTTAAATGTAAGCTCTCTTAAATGGCAATATCATTTTTCATCTCTCTGTATCGCCAAAATTTTAGCTGAACTGAATTTGCAAAAGTCATCATCCAAAACTAAAATTCAGTCTGTTTCAGTTCCTTAGTGCAGTGAAATATTAAGTAAAAATAAGCAAAGCTAGTAAAATGTGGAAACAAATTACATAATACTAAAGGTGGAAGGGAGGTTAAAGCCGAGAGAGGAATGCAAACCCAGTACAAAGAGCTTCTATAACAAATGTGGACAACAGGACTTATGAATTAAACCTAAATGAATAAGTTCTTAAATCTAAAAATGCCAGGTATCACAAAATGATAAAATTCTCTCAAAGCAGACACCAGCTCACATGTGTAATTCATTTGTAAAGATAGAAAATACTTTAAAATATTGAAGTCAATATTTTGCTGTTGTTCAGTTGTTTCGGTCACATTTGACTCCGTTTGGGGTTTTTCTTTTCTTTTCTAAGTTTTTTTACTTTTAGGCAATTGGGGTTAAGTGATTTGTCCAGGGTCACACAGCTAGTAAATGTGAAGCGTTTGGTCTGAGGCCAGATTTGAAGTCAGGTCCTCTTGACTTCAGGGCCAGTGCTCTATCCACTGCACCATTTAGCTGCCCTCGTTTGGGGCTTTTCTTGACAAAGATATTGGATTGTTTGGCCATTTCCTTCTCCAGGTCATTTTACAGACGAGGAACTGAGACAAACAGGGTCAAGTGACTTACCCAGGGTCACACAGCTAGAAAGTATCTGAAGGATTTGCACTCATGAAGATGAGTCTTCCTGATTACAAGCCCAGTGTTCTATCCACTGTGCCACTTAGTTGCCCTGAAGTCAATACATTATGTCTAAACACAGCAGAATACAATTCCTAGAAATTCTAAGATAATACTATTTTATTGTTAATGCTGTCACTTTGTTGTTAAAATAAACGATGCAATCATATTTTCTGTGAAGTTTACATTTATGTTGCCTCTCAATTATATCATTAAAGCTAGATTATTTTCTTAGTAGTTACAAAAAGGAACCAAGAAAACTAAAAGAAATACTATCTCAAGACAGTTGGCTATTTATTGGTTTTTCAAACCTACCAAGTAGTTTTCATCTTGAAAGGCATAATGTAAGGTAGTGATCCACTGACAATCACCATTCACCAACACATCTCTCTCTTCTCTAAAACAGGCAGTCTGCAAATAAGGGAAAGAAAACTGAGTTGACATGGAGCCTAAAAAAAATCAGCCTACATTTCTATTAGGATGGAGTTTATCCTAAATGCAATAGAAAGCATTCACAAAACAAGTTTTTAGGGATAAGATCAAGGACTCTTTTATACACAATGTTACAGTATATGTGATTTTTTTCAAATGCAACCCATAAGCCTCATCCTGATTTCTCAAATACCACTATTCCCTCAGTTGTAGGCTTGAGACCTTGAAGAAATCTTTGGTTTCTTTTTCTCCCTAACCACCATAAAACTTGTCTGTCTTCCATGTCACTCATAACAGTGTGAAATAGTACAAGTCCACAGACAGATCCATGAAACACACCACTAGATACTTCCTTCCAACTAAACATAACACTTCATCAACTGTTCGTTGGGATCAGTTATCTGACCACTTCGGAAATTATGCAAATATACTACCACCTTAGCAGACAGGCTTGTCAAAGTCTGGATGACACAGAGTTGAGAAGGAAAGCTTATATACTAAAATACACAGTCAAGATGATAAACAAACCTCATAGGCTAGACAATGGGAATAATCTAGCTAAGATAAAATTTAATGGTGAAAAATAAAAAGTTGTACACAAGTTAAAAAAAAACTCCATTTCACAAGCATAAGAAGTGGAAGGTATGGCCAGACTACACTCTGAAAAAAGATTTGGGGATCTTAGTGAGCTTTGAGTAAACAGCTTGACATTACACCCTTAAAAATTTAGTGCTAAGAAAAAGAGAAACTTTAACCTGACATAACTTTAACAAGTTACTGATGCTAAAAATTGGGAATGTGATGAAGGAAAGGATATTGACAACTATTAATAATTTTGCATAGAAATTTAAGCAAAGAAAATCAACTATACCACAAGGAAGCCAAAAGAACCTAAAAACTGCCTTAGTCAGCAAACATTTGATGTATTTGGCTCTACACAAGACAGCCAAGGACAACACTAATTAAGAATAAAAACTTTTTTGTAAAACTTTATGGAGAAGGAAAATAGCAAAGGCATGAGACCAATTTAAAGAAAACTTGGCAAGAGGTCAAACTAAACAAAAGTAATCTGAAGGGCATTTCAGGATGAAACTGACAGAATAACAAACGTATGAAAGATGGAAAAGATCTGTAAACACTTTTTAAAATGCTGTTTTTACCATCAAGGAAAAGTGGAGTTACCATATTTAAACTTCAACATTGTTACCCCAGGTGTATGTATAAAGGAGGTAGAAATTACACTTTAGGGGACAATAATGTGAAAAAATAGACTAGACAAGGCATAGATAATTGAGAATGCTGACAGACTTATTCTAGAGGGGTGATACCAAATGTATGAGAAGAAAATTCTCAAACCCCTCCCCCCCAAAAAAACTAGCTTATTACTAATATTCAAGGCAACCAAGAAAATAAACAAATCAATAAAAGGCCAGTTAAAAAAAATTATCTTCACTATGTGCAAAACACTGGTGATACAAACAGAAAAGTAAGGCAATCTCTGCTCTCAAGGAACTCGTGGTCAGAAGGTGAAAAACAGCACATTTAAGTTTCAGCTGAAAATCAGATGGGAAGGTCCCATGGTCCTTGAGGTACAGCGATAAGAGCAGAGAGCAATGCATTTGCTTTTATGCCACATCTATTTACAAAATTGTATGTTTCTGATTTTGAACTATTTGACAGTGCCAAGGATAAGGCACTGGAGCTACTGGGGAGCTAAGGAAAGGTCTCCTTCCAAAGGTGAAATAACGACCTGAATCTTAAAGGAAGTGAGAGAAACTAAGAGCAATAGTTGGGGGGACAGAGAATTCCAGGCATGGGGTTCAGAGGTCCAGAGGCAAAGAGCCAAGAGATGGTACGCCATGCTCAAGGAACAGCAAGCATTCCAGTGGAAAGGGAAAAAGAAGATGTCATCACAATTAGAATTTATTAGAGATCTACCATGTGCAAAGCACGAGGGCTACAAAGCTGGATATGATACAGATACTACTTTCAAGAAAGAACATGGTACAATAAAGAATGCTAGTCTTGGTGAAAGGAGAGATCAGGGTTCACATTCTAGTTTCAACATTTAACTTCACTGAGTCATTTGTAAAATGGGGGTTATATTTGCACTACTTACTCCAGCAGGTTGTGGTGGGGAAAATGCCTCGAAAATCTTAAAGTCTCTATCTATAAACATGTATTACTATTATTATAATCTAATGGGGGGAGAAGGATGTACATAACTATAATAGAATGGAGGAGAAGATAAGTACAAAGAAGAGATGCACAGAACTGAGACACCTGAGGAAAGAGAAATCACTGTAAACTGCAGGGGTCAGAGAAGGCTTCTTGGAAAAGATACACTGAACCTTGAAACAAGAAAAAGACTTCAGGATAACAACAAGGTTTCAAACAGTGGAGACTGGGGAACAGCAGTGCAACTAAAAGGAATTATTAAATTAGTAACAGTAACAACTGTGGAGAGCTAGACAATTAAGATGAAGTTTGGTCCATACTGAGGCTGAAGCTATGACAGGAAGATGAAGTCAAGCTAACTCTCCAGCAAAGTAGGGGGTAAGGGATCCTCTGAGTATTGAGGAAGCAAGGGTAGAATGGATAACTTAAGGCATGTAGAAAAAGTTTAGCTCAGGCACTGATAAATATGGTGTAGAATAAGCAAAAGATAAATAAAAGGGTTTGCTGAGCAGCAGTGAGGTTTCCCATGTATTTTTACTGAGAATTTGAATTATTTCCTTCAAAATTGACTCCAGGATTGATATACTATAAATCCAATTTTAAAATAATGTTGCTGTAATGCACAAAGAAACAACAGAATTTTCCTTATGTATGCAGCTTTCAAATTCAAGTCCTGGCTTCCATGTTCATGAATTCATTTTGCTTTATGAACTAGAAACGCAATAAGAATCTGAAGGTTCCATGAAAATTTAATTTGTCTTTATAGTAATCTCAAATCTGGCCAATATAATTCAAAGTAAAATGTAGGCCAGACTATTTGACAGATGAATACACAATAAAGTTGAGAATAAAAGATCCCAAAAGGGGCAGAGTTCCTCTTTTCCTGCAAGAATCAAAAAGCAACATGTGTACGGTTAAATCCCAAAGAGCTTCACTTTGATGTTCTCTAATGCCACATTTAAAATCTTATTTATGTTGGACATGTAATTCTTACCTCTGCTCTTTTCAGCATTTCCCACTTATTTAGAATCTTCATTGCATAAATGCGTTCAGTGTTCTTCATTTTAACCACAGCAACCTGGAAAGTAAATGTTGGTTAACAAAAATGGATTTGAGAGGGAACAAAAAGTATGAATGTTTTATCATAAGGAAAATAAAATTTTGATTTTCCTGAACTCTTGGGGAATAAATTGCCCTGGAGAGCAGAAGGTTTTATTTTATCAATTTTGAATAGAAAATTCTTTTAAAAAATAGATAAAAATACATTCCTGACTTCTCAGAGTACACTGAGCTTACCATGACTTTATTAATTAGTATACTACACTACAACAAAATATACAGTGATGCTCTCAAAGCCTATATATGTACATGGATCTGTTTACCTTTATACCAAAAGACCCCACAATACTGTGCTTTGGAAGCTGTCATGCCTGTTTTAAAGTGTTTGTCTTCTTCGATGTCAGGTCAGCCTTTTGCAACCCCTTAACCTTTTAAACTGCTTTTTAAAAATCTGATATGGGTATAGAAATAAAATAACTAAGATCATTGTAGTTATATGCAAAGTAAGAATAAAAAGGTTCTGAACACATAATCTAGGAATTAGAAGTATATGAATTTTGTAAGATCTGAGTTTTTTGTTTTCTGCTAAGTTCTTAGAGGTTGAGTTTTTTTTTTCCTTTTCTTTCTTGGTTCTTGACACCCTTCTACAAAAATAAGGTATTACTATGCCATAGGTATAGTTTATTGTCCAAACACTGTAACTTGAAATGAATTACAGTCAATCATTTTTCAAGAAAAAAATAAAAATATACTGAATACATCATGTTTGATCACCACACACTATTTCTACACACAACATTCACAATGACCCTGACAGAACATATGGGTGAAAAAATTTTCTATCCACATAAAATAATTAGCAGCACATAAAGGGGGTAGGTATTGCCTAATTAGAGTGGAGAACTGAAACCCACAGTTAGAAAGTCTGTGTAACGAACTACATCTCTACATTGTATAATAACTTACAAAATAGACAATTTTTAGAAAAAACATTTTTGGGCATTTATATCATGTTTATTTTTATCAAGCATCTCTTCTGCCAAAGAACTTAATTCAGAACCCAGGCACACATGTTTCAAAGTGAAAGAATGTTTATTAGCCCACAAATTAGACATTTCAGGAAAATAAGGAAGTTGTAAATCACGATAGAATTTTTATTTATACAAGTCCTAAATAAATGAAAACTATACTTAGAATTTTTTTACAACCAATACGATCCTGAGGATCCCCCTTACCTCCAATTTAAAAAGCCCCAAATCTCCAATTAAAGAAAATGGAAAGAAATAAGATCCAACCTACTTCAAAAACATCTGTTGTTACTGTTTGGTTGTTTCAGTCATGTCCGACTCTTTGTGATCTCATTTGGGGTTTTCCTGGCAAAGATACTGGAGTGTCTGCATTTCCTTCTCCAGCCCATTTTACAGATGAGGAAACTGAAGCCAACAGGATTAAGTGACTTGCCCAGGGTCATGTAGCCAGTAAGTGTCTAACGCCAGATTTGAATTCAGGAAGATAAGTCTTCCTGACTCCGGGCTTAGCAATCTATCCACTGTATGACCTAGCTAACCTTCACAAATATGATGTTATGGAATCAAATGTTTTAAAGGAGCTCCAAAAAGATCAAGAAAAAAGGTTTCTCAGATCATTAATTTTATAATTTCCTCTGAAAATGTTTTACCTTTAAGCCCTATTGATTCCAAACTTCTCTTTTAAAAAAGCTACTCATGGAGAAACTAGAAAGCCTTTTTTGACTATATTTGAATTGATTTGCCTTAAAAAGCTTATTACATATACCCTCCTTCACTCCTAACACAGATTTTTACAAATTAATTCTTTTAATTTTAATAGTATAAATATTAAACAAATATATAATTACTGGAATGTTAGCACGAATTAATTAGTAAGTTGGGGTAACGATCCACTGGTACAATTATGGCTCTCTTCTCTGTAAACAGTGATCCTAAAATATTTCAAAGTTCTACATCTTTCAAAGTTAAACTTTCAAAACTGAAAAATTAAAAATGAAAACACTTCTAGGAATTACTGACCCACAATATCAAGATATTTTAACAAATTTAAACTGAACAAAAGAGCATTTCTTAAAATCCCATACTAAGTCAGGGAAGTGGCCCATTTATCTCATTTTGTCTCTGGTAATAAACTGGGTTAAAACTGTGGGCCCCAAGATAAGGTTATCAAAAAGTTTCCCCTCCCTACAACTACCTTCATTATATAGCCTGGGAAGTCCATGACTTGTAGAAGACATGAGCATCTAGGAAAGTCTCATAGCAGCTCTCATTGACTGTCTCCAATGTCCTAAACATTCTGACTTTCCCTATAGATACTTTGGCTGTTATCTACAAATTTAACTAAACTACTCTTAAGACTGTTTGCCGTCTTTTGCTGTACAACCTTTTGGGTGAGTTCCACATGTTTAGACCCTGTTATATAAATGAGTACTAAACATATATAAATATATACATTATATAAACATGAAGGCATCTGTCTACACAGAAAATATGACACATTTCAGAGTAATCTACACACAAAGCTAAGGCACAGTCAAATGTCATATTTTAGATCTTGGCCATGGTGATGAGCCATCATCTATAAGTTAGGGACTAGTTAGTTGTGGGGAAACAAAGTTAATTTAGGGAAGAAGAGCAAAAGATAGTGATACCAAAGAAGGGACTAGGATTGTCTTGGAAAGGTAAAAAGTCTGTGATACTGAGATTTTAGGCAAAAAACAGAAACGTAGGTACAGGCTGATTTGTCAGAAATATGAACTTACATAGTTTAGTTAAGAGAAAAAAATTTCCCTCTTCTAAAAAAATCTTTCTTTCCCTCTTCCATCTCAGAAGCTATTTTCCTCTTATTCCCTTATTATTTCTGTTCTCAATACTCCCTGTTCATCCTTTACAATAAGGCGACTTGTCTGTTTCTAGGGAAAAAAACCCCACTAAATTCAGTTTCTTTTCTATCTATATGCAGGTCTGCTTTTTTTCCCCTTGTAAGTCAGTTACCTTTGAAGGGGAGAAGTTTTCCATTCTGTTTTGGCCTATATCAATTCAGATATGACTTGAGATAGGCCCACATGGTAGACTAGATTTAACTGAGATCAGTAAATTTGGGCTCACCATAGGACAAGCCTAAAATCATGTTCAGTCCATTACAGTCCTAGAAGCCAAACTCTTAGGAAACTACAATAAAACACATGAACTGACATACATTTGGATACGCTCTTGTCCAAACTCTGAAATTTATACTTATAGTGCAGTTTAGACTCGTGGGGGTGGTACCAGAAAGAAGGGGAAAGGGGGAAAGGAATGGGCTAGAATAATAATGACAGTTCACATTTACATAGTGTGTTGTAATTTTTAAAGTACTTATATATTCTCGGTGACAATGAGCCTAGAGATCAAACCAGGTGCAGTTTTGCAAAGACTTTAGCATTAAGCACCAGATGCACCTATTGAAATATATTCAATTAATTCATTTTCATAAGAGAAGAAAAGGAAGTACTCATATTTTCTTACACTATTTTCTTCTTAAATTATACTAACAAGGAACTGGTATGTTAGCAATTGTGGTACTTTTAGCTGGTAAGTCAAGTTGGAGAGATCACAATGAAATAGGAACTTCCAATGACAAATCAAATTTGAGCTGCCTCACATTTAGTACAGAAAAGCAGTTCTCCTTTGAGAGGAAGCACAGTAAAGAGAAAAGACATTAAACCTGGAAGATCTAGGTTTAAGTCCTAAATTCTCTGTGTGTCAATTTCCTTAACAGTAAAATAGGAATAATAATGTGCATACTACCTTTGTCACAGATCTAGCATAAAGATCAAATAAAACAATGTATATAAAAGCATTTACACAAGTTTTTATTTAAAAACAGTAAATTCTCTGACAAAGGTCCAACATGTAAGATATATAGGGAAATGAACACAAACACATGACAGCAGTTCAAAGAAGACCAAACATCATTCCCCAAAGGATAAAGTGGTCAAAGGATATGAACAAACAATTCTCAAAAGAACTGTAAACTATTAACAATTATATGAAAGACTGCTCCAAATCACTAGTAAGAGAAATACACAAAGACAATTCTAAGTTTCACCTCATACCCCAAGCTAACTGGAAAAGATGATAAAAGATGGAAACAGTACATGTTAGAGGGGTTGTGGGAAAAATCAGGCACACTACTAAACTGTTGGTGAAGCAGTGAATTAATCCACTTATTTTGGAAAGCAATTTGAAATTATGCTGAGAAATTAACTAAACTCTGATACCCTTTGACCCAGAAATCCCACTGCTAAGCAGGTGAATCCTGGAGGTCAATAAATGAAAAGGTCCTATATAAACCAAAATAGCAGTACTCTTTGTAGTAGCAAAGTAGCACAGTAGCAAAGAACTGGAAACAAAGTAGATGCTGATTGACTGGGAAATGACTAAACAAACTGGTCTGTGAATATAACGAAGAATATGAAAAATATAGAGAAGCTTGAGAAAGACTTACATAAACTAATGCAAAGTGAAAATAAGTGGAACAAGAAAACAATATACATAATTACAACATCACCAATCTACATAGAAAAAAACAAAACAAGGGAAACTAAATGCTATAAAATTATGATCAAGTTTAGCCCCAAAGAAGAGATATGAAAATGTACCTCCTTCCATTCCAAGACTTGGTTACTGTGTTTGTGAGTTTTGCTGGATAGATGGGGTTTTTTGGTTTGCCTTTTTTTTTTTTTGGCCTGCTTTGTTCTTTGTTATAAGGGTCAGCCCTCTAGGAGGAATAAATTGGGAAATATATATCAAAAGATATCAAAATACTTTTTTAAGGAGTATATGTGTAGACATGAAACGATAAATAATTTCAATACTATTTTAAAAATTTATGCTTATTGTAGCTATACCACATGCATATTCAAAATTATTTCTCTGCACGTCCTCTCATGTAACACAGACTGAAAAACACGGAGGGAAAGCAGATCAACAAAACCAACATACACAA